TTCAGAAACAAGACGTAAGTCGAGAGGGCGACGAAGAAGCAAAATTTTCCCGCAAAGTTTACGTGAACGTCAAGAAGAAGAAGATGAAGAAGTAGTAGTAGAAGTAGAAAAAAAAGAAGAAGAAGAAAAAGAAGACTGAGAAGAAGAAGAAGAAGAATCGTGACTATCATCGTTATCATAACAATAATCATCATGATCAAGGTTACCTCTATACTCCAGTTACCAGCACTATCATTGTGCGTCAGTTATCATTAACCCCATCATCACTATCACAAGCACATCATCTATGTGCATATTAAAGACGTACACATGTTCCCGTATACATGTGAACACATGTTTCCCTTGTACTGGCTGCAAGACCTGCACGTTGCACACACGTAGCACACAAGCAGCTGAGTCAGCAGCAGCGAACCATCAGTTCTATATTCAGCTGCTGACATTCTACTCGCGCTTGTGGAAAGACGGTCAGCAGGCAGCTTATTTGCCACGGTAAGCATAGCAGACAAAATTAGGGGGAGGGGGACGGTAAGTTTACCCACAGTTCGTACGTTTGGCAGCCTGCGGGCCGTGTACCTGTGTCAAAGGTACAGCTCGGGCCCTTTTCTTTTTATACATCTCGTGTACTTGGTCTGCAAAATAAATGTACGTGCCGAGTTCTACGTTTTCTGGGTTTGTCTTCAGCAACTCGATATGTGCTCTGCCCGTGCTGGCACTTTTCCTTCCAGGTGAAAAATGGCATGGAATGCTTGCATGAGTCACTGACGTAATAGCGGAGTATTTCTTATGAGACCTAGGCACAGGCACGCATACTGTAGGTGCATACAGGTACATCCTATACGTATGTACACGCATACTCTTTACACACACACAGATATATATGTGCACATCAGTATGTGCATGCATGTACGTGCAATATATATATATATATATATATATATATATATATATATATATATATATATATATACTAGCTGTACCCGGCAACGCGTTGCTGTGGCCCAGAATGGAGAAATAGAGAGGAAAGAAAATAGCTCTCAGCTAAAAGTGTCTGTCATATTCCCCCCCCCCCACCCCCTCCATGACCCAATCATATCTCCCTCTTCATAGGATTGAAAAATCATCACCTGGCGAAATGATTAAAATAGAAATAGTTAAGAAATGAGAACTTTGAAATATTTTTTTTAAGCTCTCTCAGCTTACTGTGTATGGCATACCCCCCACCCCCAATCTTTTCCACCAGTCATATCTCCCTCTCCGTAGGATTGAAAAATCATCACCTGGCGAAATTATTAAAATAGAAATAGTTAATAAATGAGAACATTAAAATAATATTTTAAGCTCTCTTAACTAACTGTGTCTGGCATAACTCCCCACCTCCCACTCCCCCAATCTATATCCGTCTCCGAAGGATTGAAAAATCATAACCTGGCGAAGTTATTTCTCCCTCTCCGAAGGATTGAAAAATCATCCATTGTGACATTGTTAAAATAGGAATAGTTAAGAAATGAGAACTTTAAAATAATATTTTAAGCTCTCTCAGCCAACTGTGTATGGCATAACCCCCCCCCCCCTTTTTTTTTTTTCACCAATCATGTCTCCCTCTCCGTAGGATCGAAAAATCATCACCAGGCGAAATAATTAGAATAGCAATAGATAGGAAATGAGAACTTTAAAATAAAACTTAAAGCTCTCTCAGCTAACTGTGTTTAGCATACCCCCCCCCCCCCCCAATCAAATCATCCTCTCCTAAGGATGGGAAAGTCACCGTGTAACGAAAAAGTGTAACTAAATTGAGCTTGGTATCCGTGTCCACCCAGACATAAATAGGTAGCATTAACCTGTACAGAGAAATAAATGAAGTCAGTGTAACAGCTACCACATCACCCATCCAGTACCAGTACTACTGCAACCACTACCACCACCACCACCATCACAACAACAACAAAATCAAAAACTGTCACTACAGTCTGTGTAGGTCGGTGTAGAAAAGAGGAGTTAGCGCCGCATGCTGTCGCCACGGACTATTTTGTTTAATTTTGCCCCCTGACATAGGAAAAAAAAAAAAAACTTTATCACGTAACCAGTAATGGAACCCACAGTGAAAAGTACGCTATACTCACGAATAGCGGAGAAAAATGACAGACTTACAACTATACTACCGACGACTGAAGAGTTTAGGTCAGATATCGCAGCCTAGCTGTAAACCACAACGCAACGAGCGAACGAAGATTATCCGGACATGACCATTAAGCATCACGTCGCCGCTGTCGCAGGCTAGCTGTAAACCCCAAAACCAAAAAATGACGATATATATATATATATATATATATATATATATATATATATATATATATATATATATATATATATATGCACGTACATGCATGCACATACTGATGTGTTCAACTATGGAAGTTTAGCAGCCTACCTCTTTCTAGCCGTGACATCGTCTTCACTGATACTGTAGGCCACACCAGCTGTACCTTTACACTGTGAGAACTTATACAGAGGGCATTCGTATTTGTGAAATAGAAAACAAGGGGAAATAAAAACATTAAAATTGGTACTAGAAAACTGAAAAATTACAGGCAACAGACGAGATGTTGACTATATCAACCATTTGGTCCCGAGTGGTTAAAACAAAAAAGACCTAGCAATATCTTCGCTAAAGTGCCATATGTCAGGGATGCAGTGACTTCAGCTAACCATTTTTGTGATTTCCGTATACATATTAATGAAAGCGACAAAACGACATTCTTAATAATTCTGATAACCAAATGATTACTTGGTTACTGTCCAAGTGAAATAACATCATATAAGTCGTCCCCTTTCATGATGCAATTTTTCGCTACTTTGAATCCCCCAGCCTTGCTTTTGCCGGGGGCCCTAAAATAACTTAATGGTTAAACGGGTTTTTCGGGACCTTTTCATGAATGATCCTCATCCGCATGGTGGCACTTTGTGTCACCGGGTGCAAAATTTACTTACTTACTTGGTCAATAAGGCGCGCACAAGCAACTAATTTGTTTCACTTTGTCTGATATCACTGCTCGCCTCAGTGTTAATTGCTGTGGCGGTAAACGTAATGTTAATGGACGCAGCACAGTTGATGTTTTCCTATAAGTAAACGGTTCATATACTTACCAGTCATCCCCTTGTGGGATGCCGTTTTTCGTTGTATTGAAGCCCCACCCTGGTTCTTGTCAGGGGCCGCAATATAGCCCTGCCATACTTATGGCCTAAACGGGGTTTCCTGGACCTCTCCACGGGTGATCCTCATCCGCATGGTGGCACTTTGTGTCACCTGGTGTTTACCTCTTGTGTAATGCCCTGGTGGGGTACAACTTGCATATATAACTATTCCTCAGCACTAACCCGGAAAAGCCAGCTCTCCTCTTGACCCGGACTCACGAATCTGGTCGGCATCTTCCTGCCCACCACGCTGCTGGCATATCTACTGTGCAGCATTCCATACTATCTGTAGAACTTGGAACTTGGACCTTTTACACTGACTTTAGCAGCAGAGCCTAACTTATTACCTAGGCCTGCTTACAGGAGCCAGACTGACAGCTGGACAGTCCGGCCGATCGGACTGACGCTTATCTGAGAAACTTGTACTCTTAAGAGGCTTGATAGTTTTTTTTCCCACTTGGAAACCCACACATGCCTATCGAGATCTTTCCTCTACTTTGTTCCGTTTACTTTAGAGCCAACACGAGGCTCTCTTAGCAGCCTAGCCTAACTGGTTCAGTAACCGTGCTCGCGCCTTGCCTTATAACCACATCGGCTGCAGGAATCGCAGGTCACAGACCATTTTGTGCCTATATCGATGGAGAAGGGAGGACCTGCGTACCTTTTCTTAATCCCTAGACAAGCTACAAGATCACTGTACTTCTCGAGCTTATTCGACTGCTGTCTTCGATCCTAGATTCAAATAGGATTTTAAAGCCCCGACTATAAGCAGGTGAGCTTTCGAGGTGTGCAGCACCATGTCTGGCCTCAGCTGTGTCTTCCTAGTCAGTTCAGTGTACCTGTCTAAGTCTACTGCTAGCTGCCAGTCTCATACAGTCAAGAATGGATGAAAGAACAGCAACAGTGTTGAACGTAATGTCTGATTTTTGTCCAGCCTTAAGTAAATACATGAGTGGACGTTAGGATTGGCCCGCTTTTTAACTCTGGTCCTAATTTGGTCCACGATGTTTACTAACTCCTTTCGAAAAATGATTGTGCCTCATCGTGAGCTGACTCTGAAATAGTGCTTTCTTGCATGCACACAACTCCGCTAAAGGGACCCGTAACGTCAGTGGTCTTGTTCCTCTTGACTAGGTTAGCAGCTGATAGTAATATCCTGCATGCAGATCTTACAAGAAAGCTCAGCTGCAGCGGAGTAATGTGCCATATAACGTTCGAGAACAGAGACCTCTGCAACCCCTTCCCAGCCTACCCACGGGTCTTGTTGCGAATGCTGGCCCGTCATCTGAAATCGCATAATCGTCATTGTTAAGCATTCAAGATGGGTTGTATTACTTGGCAATGCCGTCCGTCATACATCATTACTGCGCACCCAAGCAGGTTTCTTTTTTTCCGTCTTTAATTGTGATCACACAAACCTTCTTCCACATTATCCTTTCATATTTAACATATGCACATCATTTAACAAGAACCTCTCGCACATAAGAAAATCTACCGGAAGTTAAAAACAGGAAAGAGCAGGCCAAAACCCTGGCAACATTGTCATAAAAGACAACCTATCCCGTGTGGGCAGGATCGGCAACCATAAATGGAATTACTGAGGTAGTCTAGCTTACACAGATGTATATTGGAGTCAAGCAAGCGGACTAATCTCTGAGATGCATAAATATGTGTGACACTCTCATTAGAGGACTCGTGGAGGTAAAATAAATGTCCTAAGATACAGAACAAAACAACTTTATAAACTACTATAACTGTAATTGCATTGCGTTTGAAAGAGTTTAATGGCACTACTTATATTATTTCAGGCTCGTCTGAGAGAGTTAGAGGATGCCCTAGACAGTGAGAGGGATGGCCGTCTCAGAGTAAGTATAAAGAATGGTACTTAATTCACTATCATCTGAATATGTTAGTTCGTTGTAATCACCGTTGTAATCTTTCCGTCTTTCCAGACGATAGTGCCATGAAGAGACATGTGACTCACAGCCCATGGCAAGGACAAGTGTGACTAGCTAGACCCGCCCTCGTTAAGAAAGGTCTTCCATGGGATTTCAGGACCACTGTTGTTATTGTGTTACGTCTCAGATGTTGATTCCCTTTCTGATTTGTCCCCTCCATGCAGTACGGTCCATGGCATTTTTTTCCAACGAATTTACTCGAATACCTGTATCGTAAATAGTTAATCAATCGATTCTCCTCACCCCACATCGGAGAAGCCCGTAAGTGTTAGGATTCCATCTTCAGTACCTCCCTCAAGGTGTGGCGACTAGTAACACTAGTTTTCAATTGGTTGTAAATTTTCTTTGGTCACGTGCACTGTGTTTACGCCTGGCAACACCTCATTCGACAGGAAGAACTTGTAGTTATGTCACTGTTGCTCTTCCTTGTGGCATTCTAAATAGTCTGTTCGTCCTCCTTCCTTGGTAGCATCAAGCCGTTGCATTATTTTCCTGTGCCAGCTAGCTAATCCGTTCATTCATTCCTTCTTATTCCAGGGTGTCTAAGTTATACAAGGAAGCTAATTCCTGTCAGACGAGATTTCTTCAGAGATTTAGGCACTGTCGTGCATGTATATATATATATATATATATATATATATATATATATATATATATATATATATATATATATATATATATGTCACTCCGGTCATCTCCTTGTGAGATTCAATTTTTCGTTTTTTGCAGCCCCACACTGGCTCTTGCCAGGGGCCGCAATTTACCCCGACCATAAATATGGTCTAATGGCTGAACGCGGTTTCTGTGGCCTCTCCACGGTGATCCTCATCCACATGGTGTCACTTTGTGTCATCGGATGTTTATCGCTTGTGTGATGTCCTGGTGGGGTAAAAATCTACTACTACTACATACGTATGGGGAAAACTTTGTGCCTCTAGCTACCATCACCCCCACCGTTCTATCGTCAAATTGTGTGTAGTCAATGCAAAAGCATCGATATCTTCCTTTCAAGCTTTTCCTTCCAACAGAACACAGAATAATCTTCTTTTTTTAAAAATTGAAGTCCCACATTGGCTTTTGCCAGGGGGCGCAATATAGGCAGGCCATAAATATCGCCAATTGTCTGAACGCGGTTTCTGAGACATCTGCACGGTGATCCTCATTCACATGGTGGTACTTTGTGCCATCGGGTGTTTATCGCTTGTGTGATGTCCTAGTGAGGTAGAGAGTCCGTCAGTCAGTCAACAGAACAGAGATAGCTGAAGTTTAACGACAAATCTATGTGTATGGATGACAGCACCTCCATTCGCACAATTCTCTGTAATCAAAGCTTTAACTGTCGCCTTCAACACCAAGGGATTTTGTTGTCTGCAGTCTCTGTCCTGTTTTATGCAGACTAAAAGGGATACACACATGGAAGAGAGGAACTACATACTTTTCCCGTTACATGATTATGCAGACATTGTTGGCTGCCAAATGTGGGCCGTTGGCTTATGTGTTTAAGAACACTGGTTTTAATACATCCGGAATGAAAAGCGTTGGGGAATAGGGGGAGGGGGGTTAAATGGGCTGTAGAGCAGAGTAGAAGAAATGTGGGGGGGGGGGGGGGGATTCAACTAAAGGATAACACTTGTTTATGCATAGGATGTAGCTATAGTTGGAGACAATTATCTAGAGACAGCTTCCTATAGGAAGCAGTTTAAAAACTGGGACTAATTATCAGTACAAATAAGAGAGAATACTACACGAAGCTTTTTATCAATCAAGATGCAAGCACCGAGAAATGGCGGGTGAGAAGCACTAAGGAAATTCCTTATATGTTAAAATAAGCGTTGTTGACCAGAATAAGAAGGGGTCATTGAAACAACAACAACAACAACAACAAGAGAGAAACTGTAATTACTGCTTGTATTTACTCCTTTTGTGGTGTGGGCGGGAGTGGGGTATGTTGGGAAAGCTAGAGGGAGGTAGAGGGAGGGGGTGGGGGGTGGGGGGTGGGGGGCCGGCTCTAAGTCTTATTATTTATGGCCGTGACTAGTACTTTTTTGGCCACCAAACTAAAAAAAACAAATCACCAGGTTTACCCACCAATCGAACCCGGGTCTTTCGCATGACAGCCCAGAGTTCTTAACCGTTCGACTGAACATATGAACGAATAGATAACCACTAGAAATATATCAAATTATAATTCTGAACTCCTTTTAACAGCAACCTGCTGCGGTTTACAGGCAGGTTCAGTGATCTGAAACTGAATTGTGATGAACGATTAAATTATATTAAATATAAGACAGCTGCGATACATTGACAACTGTTTTAGAGATAACTACTAACAAGTTGTAATTCTAACTGCAACAAAATTCCATCGACAGGCTGAAAAACTGTTGGCGGAACTGCAGTTCAGGTACGATCAGGTACTGGACAGTCTCGAAGAGCAGGGTGGAGTGACTTCACAGCAGGTAATTTATAACAGAACTATTGTGTTATAACAATGTTTTCATATATACTTGTCCTTAAAAATAGCATTGTATACCCTGTATTTGTTTGCCTTCTCAGTTATTAGAACATGTTTATGTCAGCTTGCTTATCATCTTTGTCTTCATCATCATCTTCATCATCAATTTCCTGTTGCGCTTTTTTACGTCACAAAGGGCTCGCAGTCTATTCCTCCGTTTTGTTCTATCGCTGGCAATCCATTCGATTCGTGGATAGAATCAAGTCCATTTTGCCTTCTCTCAACAACGTTTATTATAGGGTTTCTTTTAGATGACCTCGCTTTCTTAATCCATTTATTTCCCACTTCAATGCCTATTTTTAATTCTGTGCTCGTTTATTTTCCAACTGTGTCCAACATAGCGCCACCATCTCGGTGTTATAACTGTTGTTGCAAGTGGTGTCCCAGACATTTCATGTATTTCTTCACCTCTCTTGAAATCATCCATTTTCTTAATACATTTGTCTTTAAATTCATTTAACTTTCATTCCATGTCTTTAGTGGTTCTCGAACTGTCATTAGCATTGTGAAAACTGAAATAACATTAGAAATGAAATACGTAAGTTGATTGTAAAAATGTACACTTTAGAGTTTCATATGCTGTTTAGGCTTTAGAAGCTTCTGACGCCATACCAGTGGGTGCAATAATTTAATTATGTTTATTTCCTTGGCTAAACAAATATCAGCTAATTAAGTAAATGGATCTGTTACTTTATTATTCCTATTTTATTTTTTTCTCTAGTGTTACAGATGTTGGTCAGTTATTAGTGTCTTCAATACATCTGTCCTTTCGTAACATATTTGTTGTCCAACTTTTAATTGTGTGTGTGTGTGCGCGCGCGCGCGCTAAATTATCTGTATTTGTTTGCAGTCATTGCTGCTGCTACTTAGCAAAATAATATCATCAGCAAAACCCAGATCTTCCAACTGTGTTCTCCACCGAGTCAATGCCAGTATTTCCAACAAAGCATATTATTCATCACCCAGTCAGTTGTCATGCCAACAAACAGGGGAGATAAGGTGCATCCTTCTTTCACCCAAGTTCAAACTGCAAATTAATTATATATTCGCACCGCAAACGATTAATTAAACCTCATATTCTGCTTTAATAATAGGTTTTGACTTGCATACCATATAATTCAAAAATTCCCTATAGAGATTTTCTATGGAAGCAATCAATATTATTAAAGTCGATGAATTGCAAAATAAAGGGTTGTAGTTTCTCGACAAATTGCCTTAAAAGAAGTCTCAATATAATTATTTGATGGAAATTCCCCTGGCCTTCCAAATCTATTGAAAATTATTTTAAAAACAGTCTTGGACATTTCTTCATTTACTGCAAAGTTTTTCCTCTACCCGCACTCTATTAAACCAATTTTTCCCTTGGTTTAGGTTTACATCCAATGCTGATCTGAACATTTCTGCAGTAATATCAACATCACTTGCTGCCTGATTATTTGCTGATGAAATGATACTAGCTTGTCAATCCAATACAATTTTAGCACATTTTCTGCATTATAATGTTTTTTCAGAAATATTTTTTTTTAAAATATAAAATAAGGCTATGTGTAGATTACAGACCAAAATATAATTTATTAGCTCAAAAGAAGGGAAGATATATTCATTTAGAGAGAAACATATGTAATGTGTACAACACACACGCACACACACACACACACTCACACACACACATACATACATACATACACACAAATATGTGAGTCACACTCTTGATTAACGAGAGGACCAAGAAATATTCGCCAAACAGGCACAGAAATATGTTTCTCCTTATAATGCAGAATTAGAGTCTCATAAGCTTAAAAAAAGTCAAATATCTAAAACCTGTCTGATGTACACTAGCAATAAGTTTCACATTACACACACACACACAAACACTCATCAAGAACAGTTTGGCTACTTTATGAGATGACAATTATTACAACGGGGAAGATAACGAAGTTAGATCCAGAGGTTGAAACCTGTAGACAATGTTGGATGGATGAAACAAGTGGCACAGAAGACATTAAGTGGCTGACTTATCAAGGAAACACAAAATATTTGCTTGTAGAAAAACAGGATCGCCTGAGCCGTTTAACGTGGCATGTGACATTGAAGAATACATGCGCCAGGTCTCAGGCATGTAGCCCAATCTGTAGTATTTTAATAAAGTTGAGTTTAACGATTCAAAGTGTAACACAGAATATGACTGATAGAATGTTGGTTGGTAGGACGTGCCAAAAAGACATAAAGAGCGATAAGGCAGTTGGGTAAGGGTTGGAGGAAAAAAAAGGAGGGGGGGGGGAGAGTAATGGATTTCTCCCAAAGCTACATTTATGGTTCATAGTAATCATTTGAAGCGAGTCAAGACCTTTAAATATTTGGGTACACAACGCGGAAACAGTGATGAAATACTCTTGGCAGCATTAAACATTCAGAAACATTACATATTAAGAATTCATTGACCAAGTGTTAACACATGGCTATAAACTACAAACGAATAGGTAACAGGTAGAATATCAAATATCACAGATAAAAAAAGCAATTATGTAAATGTATTTAAAAGTTGTCAGAATACAAGGAAATGTGTCACGTAGAGGAGATGGAAATAATCAACATGAGGTCAGAATACAAGGAAATGTGTCACGTAGAGCAGATGGAAATAATCAACATGAGGTCAGAATACAAGGAAATGTGTCACGTAGAGCAGATGGAAATAATCAACATGAGGTCAGAATACAAGGAAATGTGTCACGTAGAGCAGATGGAAATAATCAACATGAGGTCAGAATACAAGGAAATGTGTCACGTAGAGCAGATGGAAATAATCAACATGAGGTCAGAATACAAGGAAATGTGTCACGTAGAGCAGATGGAAATAATCAACATGAGGTCAGAATGAACACGATAGTGGCCACCCTAGTATAATGGTAGTTTGCCGTGAAAATGACAAATCACACACAAATCAGTATGGAAGGCAAAATCACCCATGCAGCCACATATAATTTGCTCAGATACAATACAGTTTATATTTTTTGAATATGCAGATTGAAATCAGCAAGAAACGGGAAGCTGAAGTAAACAAGCTTAGGAAAGACATTGAAATGGTCAATGCACAGTTTGAGCAGACAGAAAACAGTTTGAGAAAGCGACACCAAGAAGCCATTAATGACCTATCAGACCAGATTGAACATCTGCAAAAGCAGAAAACCAGGTACGGCACTGCGATCAATGTTTGTATCCTTGTTTGTTTGTTTGTTTGTTTGATACAAGGATGATTATACACGTCAGAGGATGAGTATGAAGAATGTCATTGAAAGAAACCTTCCACAAGATCTTAGCAATCATGCTTATGAAAGACTCACATTTCCTCACATAATATACTGATATATGTCTAGTAGTTGGCATAGAACTGGCCACATGATTGTTTCTCATGTTGCTTTCCTTGATATTGTTTAACAATACTTTTTCCAGTTACTAAAATATATTTCAGTGTTTATCTTCTAGCCGTGGAAATGGATATCTAAATGTCGACAGCGTGTTTATTATTTCTGTGATACATTTGCTTTGTTGAGCAACCTCTTTCAAAATCTTTCTATTTTATTATATGTTTGCTCGGCTATCCATTTTATTCTGTTCTTCATCACAGTGCCTGTGATTAGTGTTGGTCTTGTTGCTTGCTTATTCCATAGTGGTCTCCAGGTATTATGTCTGCCTCGAGTGCTGAAGGTCCCGGCTTCAAGCCCTGGTGAAGACTGGGATTTTTTTCACGTGGACTTCTAGTAATTTCCTCTGGTCTCCGGGTAGTAAGACCGGACGCCCGTGTGTATTATTGTTCACGTAAAAATATCCCTTGGCAGAAATCGAAAAGAGAAGCCTAACGGCACTGCCCGGACACAATTTGGAGCTAAAAATCGACCTAAAGTATTTCAGGATCCTCGCCGGTGCAACATAGTTCGTGCACTGCGCTGATTCTTCAGACTCAGGCTTGAGTTAGAAGTAAACGGAGCACGCATTGGTTACACCTGTGGCACAGTCGTGCCTATACATCCCCCAAGAAATAGATGTGCCTAAGTCGGCCAAGTGGAATGAATATGGTTCGTATCTCTCTTCAATCGTACTCAAGAACAAGGCCAGTGATGTAATCAATTACATAAGAGCTGGTTTATTCATAATATTCTCGTCACTCACATTTCATAAATTCAATAAGCAATAGTATATGAACACTCCTTTTTACTGGCTATTCGTATGCCTCTACGAGTTCCTTAACCACTGTTCTGGCTAAACTCCAAGTTTAACATATACCTTCTAAACGAAGTAAAGCACTAGTTTTCTCCTAACCGGTTTCTCTAGCGGTCTAGCCTTGTCTTCTCATGGCGGTTCCGGGGCTAACTCACTGTTCTAGCTAAACTCCAAGTTTAACATATACCTTCTAACGAAGTATAGCACTAGTTTTCTCAACTGGTCTCTCAAGCAGTCCGGGACTAACTGTCTTCTCCAGCGGTTCCGGGGCTAACTAACTGTTCTAGTTAAACTCTAAGTTTAACATACTCTTCTAAACGAAGTAAAGCACTAGTTTTCTCCTAACCGGTTTCTCTAGCGGTCTAGCCCTAACTGTCTTCTCATGGCGGTTCCGGGGCTAACTGACTTCTCAAGCCCCTGGCTCTGACTTTATTCCACCGCTTTCCCGCTCCTCCTGGCGTACCATCTTAATCACCCCCTGTCACCTGTCCTTGGTGGTCACGTTTGGATGAACGTATCTCGTCAGCTGGTCACAGCTCACGGGCACTCGTCGAATGTTTCATCCCTCACTGCCAGATGTCATGGCGGTGTGTTCTGCATAGCTGGCTAGGCCATGGCTTTCTAATCACCCATTCTGTCATTTCACACAGTGATGGATTAGTACGCCGTGTGGTGGTCTGAAATGTATGCTTGTTCATTTAACCCCTTTCTGCCTATATTTCATTACATTCGCCCTACACACTTTTTAACAAAATTGTTTCCTATCTTCAATTTTATGAAAACTACTCCAATTATACCCGCTACCTAACTAAACCTTATGTGAACATCTAGCCACGTAATGAAAGCATACAACATAACTTGTAACATCATAAAATTCATGCAGTATAATGAAAACGTAACATGCAAACAATAACTAATAGTCAATAATTCTAAAGACAAAAAAAAAAAAAAAAAAAACGATGCAACTCCCTCGTTGTATTAGCATAACAACCTATTATTCACTGGTATCCCTAATGAATGTCCGGAGTTGTCTGAAGTATAAAGGAATAGTATCTGTATTCCCACTTTATAAACTCAAACCTGAAAACTTTGTAGACAAGAAATAACATGCCATGTATCCCCAGTTATCAATAAAGTAAAACTCGAAAATGTCATCTCCCCAAGAAATGATGAAAATAGAATCTCTGAGAAAGTCAACATAGACTGAATAATAAGGTATAACCTTTACAGAGTATAAATAATTCTTATACCGTTAGGTATATTAATTGGAGAGAAATTTCTCGGAAACAATAGTAGCATTTCCTCAAGTCGAATGTACAATGCCACCACCTGTATTTACAGGCATTTATCTACTGTGATAGTCCACAGCGTTTATTGTGGCTTCCCTAAGAGGTTGCTTCCTCTGTTTAATGCATATCGCATCTTCTGTAAAGAAATAGCCGGCCTATATTCAGTTACCAATCATGTCATGCTTTGGACTGGCTTATCGCCAAGTACGTTTCTAACTGTGTACCCCAGTAAAGTCTGGTTAAACTCAAATCAGTCGTCATTCTGACAGAATGTATAAGAGAGGTTTTGTGGCCAGTAACTCTCTTAGCGAACATAAAACATGTAGGTATTGTAATCTTCACCCACAACCGAACGTGTGGATTTTCACTTGTCCGGGAGAGTACCACCCAAAAAAAAAAAAAAAAACGTTCATAGTGCAAAAAAACCGCATGTAAATATTAAATGGTAGGGACAAAACAACAGGTATATATTTAATATTGTCGGACAAATGACATGTAGACACAACAACAGAATATGTGTAGCGAGCGCGGTACCTCTGTACACAGCAATATAGCGTACGTAAATTGTAATTAATGAAACTAATTACTTGTTATACACCCTACAATCCCACATTTATTGAACCATTTTACGAACGATCCCATTTAATTCAGTCATGGGAAAAGGGCGGGGGGGGGGGGGGGGTGAAGCTGTAATTAATGTATGGTTTACTCAGGGTATAAATTCAGTCTACCCCCTGATGATTCTGGTCTACTAACTGTAGTGGATGCTAATTGTTCTAGTTCTATTTCTTCTTCTGTCTTATTAGTGATCTGTGTTTTTTCTTTTGTTAAATGATTATTTACTTTTGTACATTTAATGCCTATCCGTCGTAAATAAAGAAAAGTTATAAGTCTCTGCAATATGCATTATCCAGGTATCAGTATGACCCTGTTTCTGTGTGTATTTACAGTATTTTCTTGAAAAGTGTCAACCTGACTTAATTCGTGTACGAGATCATGCATCTCTATCGCACTAATGTTCTTTAGATGTTGTGGCATGTCTTGCACTTTGAATGTTGGTAGTGATGTCACCAACGGTTCCCAAACCCTAATAGGATGAAAGCTATTATTCTTAATAAAATCTAAACTCCTATCGTTTATTATCATATTTTCCGTGTATGATCGGTCGGCAGTTATTTGGACTCCATCGCTGGTTATGTATGTATGTTGTTTATTCTTTGCTTCCGTTTATGAGTATTTTTCATTGCTAAAAAACTCTATCATATCGTTTACTGATTCTTCTACAAATTATCATATTACACCATGCACTGGCAGCGAATAACAGCTATAAAAATAAACAACCGTTTACGAAATGTTCAAAGTATTAAAAAAGAAGACTTACAACATAGTTGTGCACTGTCATCTGATTCTTTTTTTCATTCAACAGCACCCTAAACCAAAGACCACTGAAATGTTAGTCTTCCCTCTTTCATTTTTCTGCGTGTATGTATGGCACTCACTTTTGCCTCCCTCTTTTTAAGCGGGGGGTTGCAGTCATCCTGACTGGATGACGTATGCCCTCGGTTTCTCTTTCTTCTTCTGGGCTCGGCCATGTCCTGATCTGTTTCATAATCGCCTGCATTTCCACAACTATCTGTGTCGCTTCTCATCTCCTCTGAGCTTTCTGACGCTTCAGTAGACTCTGCCTCAAGTAATAATGCCCTACGTTCTCTGTGTGTTTGTAAAACAATTTCCTCTTTTAGATCTGTACTTCTCTTTTTAATTTCAGAAATTCCTGTTTCCTGTTTTTCCCTTTTGTTAGGCGCAGTTTCTACTGTTTCTTCTTCTTCTTTTCTACGATTACATGTACCGTTAACTAGTACTTCTGACGGTTTTAATTCTTTCACACTAGACGGAGTATTTGTCCTGGTTCTAACAGCGACTAAAAATCTACGACCTGCTTTCTTAGTGATCCCAAACTCATCATCTGCGTCGTAATTTTCAGAGAATAAATCTATCTTTATATTACTAACTACAAACGGTGCTCCTTCACCTTCTTCTTCTGTAGGCATCGCCTGTGCATAAGACAAATCCTGCTGATTTCTATCTTTAATTGTCCCTACCCTCTCTACTTTCCTATGTGCGCTATTACGATCTAGTCCTTTTACTTCTACCGCGTTTACTTCCCATAACCATTCCATTGCTAAACAACCCTCTTTATCTTCTTCTTTTTCCGAAAACGTTGGCCGGTATTACCTCTTTATGTGTCTCTATGTTTCCTTCTTCTTTAAAGTATCGACCGCGTGTCCCGTTTACAATTACCGCATTTACTTCGTTAATGTAGCTTTTATTAAACCGTTTCATGAGATTCCTCTCTTTTAACCCTTTTACTACTAATCTATTTGTCTCATCATCAGCAGCGCACGTGCTTTTATTACCTGTCTGCCATAATCCGTTATAGTTACTGACCTCGCGATTATTTCCAAAGTTTTGCAATCTTATAATCTTATTATAGCCTAATTTTTTTAATCTGTCTCTTTTGAATTTGTTGGCTTGATTATGGGTCGTACCGTGGGCCCTGTAATCTTGATTAGTGCTCATCGTGCTAAATCTTGAATCTGGATTACATGACCTGACTCGACTTCGGGTATTATCATGGATATTTCCTACTCTATTTATGTTCTGATATCTGTTACTATTATTTTGCCACTGCTCCTGTGCTCTTATATGTCTATTATTTTCTAATTTTCTCAACCTGTCTGCTCTATGAAAATTTTTTAAATGCCCTCGTTCATTTTGTACACATGACCTCAGTTGACCTTGATTTTTCTCGTACGGTTTTGTGTTGTCTGGTCTGCGGTACTGATTGTCTCTAGGGTATTGCAATCTCTCGTTAGCGTAATTTCGCCTGTCTGGGAAACCGGACAGTCGATTAACCTCGCCGTTACTTCTAGTGACTGTAGCTATGTTATAATTTCTTTCTCTCTGTCTTTGTCTACGATTATCTACTGTTGACCAATGCTGAGCAGTTGTTTGTTCTATAAAAAATGGAATACGGAGTTTTCTACCTAACTGTGCTACTTCATTGAAAACTCTGCTAAACTGTGCTCTCACTGTTCCTTGATATGCCATTATTAAAACCTGGAAAATTAACTAATGTAAACTAAAATAGAATTTAAAACAGAAAATGTCGTATTACCTTGTTAAGTGCGGTCTGAAAAAAAAAATTCTCGCTTCACAACACACTGTAATTAAAATCGGCACTGTCCTGGAATTATTTTCTACGTTCAGGAAGAAAGGTAGGGAAAGATAAGAAAAGGTTTTCCCTACACCACTGTAAATTAAAAATCAAAATATATTTAAACTAATTAATATTAATGTTCAAGGTTCTTTAAATTCGCGCTTATTTTGCAGTTCCTATTTGAAAAATCGGACAGCTCACAGTTCTTGACTTTCCTATAGTCTTCCGAGTATGTAAAGTTAGGAAAAGTTTATATTATGGCTCCCGGCTAGAACGGGCGCGTCCCCCTGATTCTAGTGTAGACGGTTTGCTCCAGGCTAGAACGGGCGTGTCCCCCTGATTCTAGTGTAGACGGTTGGCTCCAGACTAGAACGGGCGTGTCCCCCTGATTCTAGTGTAGACGGTTGGCTCCAAAAGGTGGTGCAGGCTGTTGGTCTGGTTTACGTCTCTCTATTCTGATGACGGTTTTTCTCGACTTTTCTTACTCAGCAGGCACAATCATAAACTTGCTGTTAGTTCACCTTTTTATAGCAGTTGCTTATTTGTCATGTTGTAACAGCAGTCTTGTTTTTTAAAGATGTCGAGTACACAAGACTGATCGTTGGTCACGGCTCCAAATATTCTCACACTTGTCTAAACGGGGCGTCTGTACATCCCCCAAGAAATAGATGTGCCTAAGTCGGCCAAGTGGAATGAATATGGTTCGTATCTCTCTTCAATCGTACTCAAGAACAAGGCCAGTGATGTAATCAATTACATAAGAGCTGGTTTATTCATAATATTCTCGTCACACACATTTCATAAATTCAATAAGCAATAGTATATGAACACTCCTTATTACTGGCTATTCGTATGCCTCTACGAGTTCCTTAACCACTGTTCTGGCTAAACTCCAAGTTTAACATATACCTTCTAAACGAAGTAAAGCACTAGTTTTCTCCTAACCGTTTTCTCTAGCGGTCTAGCCCTAACTGTCTTCTCATGGCGGTTCCGGGGCTAACTCACTGTTCTAGCTAAACTCCAAGTTTAACATATACCTTCTAACGAAGTACAGCACTAGTTTTCTCAACTGGTCTCTCAAGCAGTCCGGGACTAACTGTCTTCTCCAGCGGTTCCGGGGCTAACTAACTGTTCTAGTTAAACTCTAAGTTTAACATACTCTTCTAAACGAAGTAAAGCACTAGTTTTCTCCTAACCGGTTTCTCTAGCGGTCTAGCCCTAACTGTCTTCTCATGGCGGTTCCGGGGCTAACTCACTGTTCTAGCTAAACTCCAAGTTTAACATATACCTTCTAACGAAGTACAGCACTAGTTTTCTCAACTGGTCTCTCAAGCAGTCCGGGACTAACTGTCTTCTCCAGCGGTTCCGGGGCTAACTAACTGTTCTAGTTAAACTCTAAGTTAACATACTCTTCTAAACGAAGTAAAGCACTAGTTTTCTCCTAACCGGTTTCTCTAGCGGTCTAGCCCTAACTGTCTTCTCATGGCGGTTCCGGGGCTAACTGACTTCTCAAGCCCCTGGCTCTGACTTTATTCCACCGCTTTCCCGCTCCTCCTGGCGTACCATCTTAATCACCCCCTGTCACCTGTCCTTGGTGGTCACGTTTGGATGAACGTATCTCGTCAGCTGGTCACAGCTCACGGGCACTCGTCGAATTTTTCATCCCTCACTGCCAGATGTCATGGCGGTGTGTTCTGCATAGCTGGCTAGGCCATGGCTTTCTAATCACCCATTCTGTCATTTCACACAGTGATGGATTAGTACGCCGTGTGGTGGTCTGAAATGTATGCTTGTTCATTTAACCCCTTTCTGCCTATATTTCATTACACACCCGTGTGCCATGATGTTGATTTGTCGAATAAACATTTCTTTGTCCTCGCGTTCACAGGCTCTAAACTCAGACGGAAAGTTATGGTTGTTAGTCCATCCCTGGACTTTGTTATTGATACAGAACATGAGTTTTACGCGCATATATGTTTTACATATATGAATTGTTTGCATACAGACTGCTGGTTTCAAGCCTTTCGCTTGTTTATTAATTATTCACGTTTACTAGCCACATGGAATATGTTGTTTGTTACTATAGAGGCATCTTATTTCCCTTGCCTAACTTGTACGGAAACATGCAGTTTAGACGACACAGTTTGGATAACTGAAAACCGCAAATGATTTACAACAGCTGCTGGATATTGTGGAGATGGAGAGTGCCAAGAAAGGACTTTCCTTGAAAAAAAAAAACGGAACTATTTGTTATATCAAAGAAAAGGATAACACCACATTGTGATATCTCAGTTAAAGGCAAACGTCTTGATCAAGTTAATAAATTCAAATATCTGGAAACAGTCATAAAATCAGATGGAAAATATGAAACATTAAAGCAGAATAGGTCAAGCGAGGGCAGCATCTTAAAAAATTAAAAATATCTTATGGAATAAGTCGCTGTCATTTAATGTCAGAAAGAGAGTGCTAAAATATTACACAGAACCTGTTGTGTTGTATGGCAGCGAATCTTGGAATGTCAGGGAACGAATTAAGAAGAATTTGGAAGCAACAGAGATGTTGTTTTTGAGACGAATGTTACGAATACCTTGGACGGCCAGTGTAAATAACAACAATTGTTTGAAAGAAGCTAATGAAATCAGATCTCTATATACAACATTAAGAAGGAGACAAACACTTTTCTTTGGCCACGTAATGAAAAGAGAGGCATTGGAAAATATAGTGAAAACTGGAAAGATAATGGAACGAGGTGTAGAAGCAGACCAAGAAAGATGCTGCTGGATGGACTGAAACCATGGCATGGAGTTATATCATCAACAGAACTGTTCCAGGCAACCAGGGATCGTGATTTGTGGAGATGCACGAGGGCCTACGCCAATTGGCAGAGCACATGACGATAATGAAATTCAGTACTTTACATTTACAGATTAAAATAACAAATACACATTTATTCTGGTTTTCTTTTCAGAATTGAAAAAGAAAAGCAGACTTTAGTTGTTGAGTTAGATGGACTATCTGGCCAGCTTGAGTCAGTCAGCAAAGCCAAAGTAAGTTCGCTAATTATCATGTGTTCTTCAACGCACGCAACAGTTCTAAAGTAGCCAAATACGAATCTCTAGCGCCTTTACGACTGGCGTAGGAGATCACTTCTCTGATCTCTGGTACAACTGAACAGCAAAATGAGTTTAGCACACACGACACACACACACACATACACACACACACACACACACAATCACTAATTTTTTTGCCCATAACATGACATCTTTTATTAAGTGAAAACAGTTCAGTAGTATCAATGACCTGTGAATCAATGGTTATACATGATACTAGGTTTTCAGAAAAGATACCGTCATCACACACATGTAGAACAGATGCGCCGGAAACTGGGACTTATGAACCCAGAGCAAAGTAGTTTGCAAAGGAGGAATTTCATTTGTTAAAGGGGGAATTTAGCTCGATAATCATATTTTATCATTAATATATATATATATATATAATATATATATATATATATATATATATATATATATATATATATATATATATATATATATATAATTTCAAGAAATATGTGTGAAATGTCGGTGAATATGCTTGTAATACGGGTCGTGTCTTCATAGTGTAGGATCCTAGTAATAAAAATGATATATTTGTGTTTTTGCTACAAAATATTCTTTGAAGGACTGAACCTTTCTTTGGAAAAAAAAGTCACTTTCCTTAGACAAAGCAACATGACACCTGGAACTGTAATGAGCAAAGAAGAAATAGACAATGTCACAGACGGAATAGTTTGTCTCCATGGTTACCTGCAAAGATGGAATTGCAGGATGCGGACATGCAATAATAAACAGATCATAGACTTTACAATACATGAGGTAGAAGAACTAGTGAAGGATGCAGAATCTTCCCCGTGGGCTGCAATAAGAGAGACCTCCTGTATGCTTGTTTCAAGGAAAATAAATTAACTAATTCACCCCTTCCCCCCACTTTTTTCCCCCACTAACACACACATATTTCTATTTTATTCTAGCATTATTCATTGCCTAATGAAAGGAAACATAAATATCTTTGATGTCTTAAAGTAGCTGATAATCTGCACTTTTATATTTATTGCAGGCTTCTGTTGAAAGCAAACTGGATGCTGCTGAACAAGCTAATATTCGCCTCAAAGGACAAGTCGATGACTTGGCTCGTCAGCTCAATGAGTTAACCTCCCTGAAGGCTAGATTAACCCAAGAAAACTTTGATCTTCAGCATCAGGTATGCATTGGAATGCTTTAATGGTATCTAGCCTGCTCTGATGTATATTATGAATTAATTATTTGCAGCTTGAGAGCAGTAGTAGAACCAGATCACAAGCCAACTACACATTTCATGTCCAATCAGACATGTATTCTTTTCTTCTTATTCGTGATCACCAGCTGTTAACTATGGCGGAAAGTTCTGGTTGTTCATCCACTTTTGGACTGCGGTGCTGTTCCAGAACCCGAGTGTTACGCGTGCATCAGTTTTACAGATCTCACTCATTTGTATGCAGACTGCTGGTTCCTTGCCTCTCAGACAGATTCACTGTGACTTGGAAAGAAGCTCCCAATTAGTCGACTCTTACGACTTGCTTTTGGGTAGGCAGTTTGTATATTCTCCCCCCCCCCCTCCCTATAATAGGGACCCTGAACCCACGGAGAAGACATGCATTAGTTGGAGCTGATGTGGTGTAGCGGCTAGATGATCCATGCGAAGGTTGTGGGTTTGGGTCTGGATTGAGCCTCACTGAAAAAAAGACCTTGGCTCCCAAGTCAACCCAGCCTTAAATGGGTTCCAGTAAGAGTCATGGGAAGTAAAGGTGGCCGGCTTTGTGCTGATCACATAACCCAACGAGTTCCAATTGTTCTATAAAATATAGGTTTAGCCCTATATGCCCAATACGCCTGATAGCATAAAAAGGGTCTTTTACTCAACTAGTCGTAGAAATCATAGCGACCGTAAAATGGGCACACATATATACACAAGTAGCCCAGTAGAGAAACATTCAGCATATAAACTACTTGAATAAATCAACAGTGGATCTATTCAACAGGCATTGACAATCTGATTAGCAGTGTGTACCAATGTTTATTTTCGTCAGATGTTTGGAAATATCAAAATGTATCACAGTTACCTTCAATAACAGGACTGAATCATACGTGTTATGTTTGTCATCATAGATAATATCTGTATGTTTAACACAGGTGCAAGAACTGGACTCCAGCAATGCTGCTCTTGCTAAAGCCAAGTCCCAGCTTCAACATCAGAACGATGATCTCAAGAGAAATCTCGACGACGAGAGCCGGGTAATTCTTCTGATTTTATTTCACTCAAATGCAGTCGGAGACTGCACGGATATCACAATCAAATATTTATTATCAGTAGAACCTAAATGAATATTGTAGTCACAAAATAATGAGATTTATGTCATTTGTATCTGATTATAGTGGATGAAAATACAATACGAAAACTCGTATAGTTAGATAATGAGGAATTAGAACAATTAAACTTGTTCATCAAAAGGCATAATCACGATTTAACTTCATAAAAACAAAAACAAGAAAGAAAGAAGAAGAAAGAAAGAAAGAAAGAAAGAAAGTCAGAAAGAAAGAAAGAAAGAAAGAAATTAACAAGAAAAAACAGAAAGAAAATGTAAGGCAGGCATGTCCGTCAACCATTCAAGTCAAAATGAAGACATTGAGAATATCATCAAGTATAAACACCTTTGTACTACAATTGACAATAATGGGGACTGTTGAAGATTGGCTAGCCATGGTCATGCAGAGGTGAAACTGTATTAGTAGTTTAATAATAGCAGTGTATCCAAGCATTTCTACGGAATACAACAGTTTTCAGTTAGGTAATCATCATGTAGCAGGTCCTTAGCAGAACGTCGCTCTCATCATGGTCTGCTTAAAAGAAACCCGGTCTCTCGCCAGCTCTCCCGTTATTGTTCAGTTAGGTAGACGATTATTATATAGTAGATGTATTAGTTCTGACATAAAAATTTGGACTTATAAACTAAGCATTCAACTATAACTATAACTATTAATGGTGCCTGCTATTTTCCGCATGGAAGTATAAGGACCTAAACGGCATGAGCAGCCGTCACGAACGAAAATGCGAGGATTTTAATTTCATTTGAAATAGACGAAATACCAACAAATAATTAAAAAACAGAATTCCCAGATGTGTGAAATTAGCAGCCTAAACTCCAATCACAAGCTCTTCGTTTAAAGAAATAAACGGGACACAATATTTTTAAATAAAACACCCAAAATGCATTTATTATAAAAATGAGTGTTGTATCTGAAGTAAGTGAATTTCAAAACTGAAGTCCTATAATGGTAGATGTGGAAACATGCTGCTTGCGACAAAGACATTGCAGTAACATTAACTGGCTAGTTGTCTATTTTACTAAGCTAATTTCGATAATATATATACAAGTATATATACATATTTAAAACCTGGTATCAAACATTTGAATAAGTGAGTTAAACTTATAATTACTAGTTAATCAAATATATTGTACATGTTCACAGCAAAGGCAAAACCTTCAAGTGCAGCTGTCGGGTCTTCAGAGTGACTATGACAGTCTAAATGCCCGCTATGAAGAGGAAGTTGAAAGTTCTAACAGTCTGCGAGCACAGCTAAGCAGGGTGAACACCGAGTACAGTACCTTGAAGGCTCGATTTGACAAGGAGATTCAACTGAAGACTGAGGAAATTGAGGAAATACGGTCAGTTGAACATTTCTCTTGCCGCTACAGTTTCTGCTAGAGTCAGTTCAGTGGTAATATACCATTGATGTATATCTCCTACAGTAGGTTTATTCAAAAAGCAGTCCTCAGCAATATCACAAAAATAGGACAAGACCACTCTTAAAGTTTTCAAACATTTCTTAGGGGGGATCTTTTTCCTATCTTCAGCCTGTTTCATGAAATTTGCTCTTAGGATTACGCTTCACCCACAAATACACACACACACACACACACACACACACACACACATCACCCACACTCAGGAGCTCACGCACGCATGCACGCACATTCATGCACACGCGTCTGTACACCTCCTACTCATGCACATTCTCTCTGTATCCTTTACAAACAATTTTTTTTAGCTTCCTGTTATTATTTTAATGGTATGTCATAACATAAACAACCTAAATTATGCTGATGGCATCGTTTTTAATAGGTACAAGCCAGAAAGCAAACAAAACTACTCCATACAGTAGTGGTAGAAAGTGACAAAGTGATGGGTTGTCGTAGGGGCCCCAGCACACTAGTTTGCGCAAGGGCCCATTATGGTGTCAAAGACATAATTAGTGCCTAAATGTTTAACAAAAATGTCAGAAGCGTTATTTTAGGACAAGTACAGACATTTAAATATATCGGCACACGGATAACATCCTACAGAAGATGTATCACGGAGATAAAGAGCAGAACAGGACAGGCTAAAATGGCACTGTATAAAACGAAGAACATTTTGTTCAATAACTAAACGTACGTGGAGGGTAGAAAAGGAACTTTTGCATGCTATACAAAGCCCGCTTTCACATATGGAAGTGAATCCTGGACAATGAATAAACAAGCAGCCTAGTTGTTCTAAAGTGAGGTGGGATCGAAGACAATATGGGACAGTAATCATTTTGGTCATATTATGAGAAAGAAAAGAAGGAAACTGGAGTAAGTTCTGACCACTGGTAAAATCTGTGGAAAAAAGAGACAGCAGAAGACAATGCGAGTAGTTTCATGACAGTTTTTTGTGGAGACAGAGGTGTATCAGCACCCGAACTGATACATGCTCCTGGAGATAGCACATCCTTCATGCCAGTCGGCAATTCACTTGATGATGATGCATTATTGTAATAATTATTGCTTGAATATTGTATTATAATGACTACTGCTGAGTTAAAATTTCATTATATTAAGTATTGAATTAAACAACTTTCTGAGTTGGATACCAGAGCAGCATTTATTTTTTTTACTATGGTATTTGTTGCATTGTTGTTGCAACCTGGTTCAAGATTAATAATTTGTTTATCTTTCTAAAGTATTTTGTTTCTAAATTTGGCTTGGATGATGAAGATGATGATGATAATAACAGAATTCACAATAAGATCATCTGTTTAAAAAAAAAAAAAAAGATGGCCTGTGTGGAATGTTGCTCTCAAGACAGCTTTGAAAAAAAAAAAAGATTCCATACTTATCCAGTTGCCTTTCGGTTGAATTTGCATCTGAATCTTTCTGGTCTGCCTCATCATGCCTGTCTTTAACATCATCGTTCAGTCTCCGTGACATGCCAAACTAAAATATAGTTTCTTTTTCAAACCATGATATTTCTATAAGCTAATTGTCTTTCATGATCAGATATTTAGCATTCATACAAAATGACGTAGCAAATGTCGAATTTCTTGCTCTATATTACGTATGGCGTCCCGTATAAATTAATTATAATCAACAAAACCATATTTCAAGCTTCAGTAATAGTATATCCTCTTCTTCTTTGCATTCGGTTTCGTATGCTTAGGTCAGACCATCAGGTGGGTTGCCTCTATGAACTCGCATGTCAGTAGCAGGTCCTTCATGGTTCCCTATAGCCTGCTCTGCACACTTTGCTCTTGATGCCAGGTTTCTTTTCGAAGTTGTATTAATAGTGGCCAGATCTGCAGAATTTGCTCAGGTGTCTGTGGTCCTGTCTGACATGCACACTGTGGGGACTGTACGGTCTTTTTTTAATGTATGTGGTATTTGAGCCTGCATTGTCCTGTTCTTAGAAGGCAAATTGTTGTATTTTGCTTTCAGATGAGCCTACTGATGACGTTTTGTGAATGTTTACTGTTGGTTTGTTCTTTCCACAATTCCTAGTCTTTTCTCTTGAAAAGTGTTTTGATTTCTGGTAATAACAATGAATGGGTGTGGTGTTTCTCCCTTGTTCCAATTTTTGGCAAGTCTGTCGGCTAACTCATTTCCTGGTATGCCGCAGAGAGCCGGAATTCACTGGAGAACAATTTTTATGTTTTCAGAGAGCTTGTTTAACTGGCAGGTCAGTTATCTCTCCATGTTGTCTCGTGGATCCCTTTGAGTCGCCTGGAGGACTTACACGCAGTCACACAAGAGAAAGATTTTGCTGTTTTTCATTTGTTGTTGTTGTCCTCAAGCACTTTTGTTGCATCAATTAATTGCTTGCTGTTCTGCTCTGAAATATCTTGAGAGTTTCCAAAAAGCACACGACGTTTCCACCATGGTCCCATCTTGCAGAAAAGCAATAGAACCTGTTGCTAAATATTTACAGTGCACGATAACCATTGATTATATAAATCTTTGTTTTTATCAGACGCAAACTAACTATTCGTATCACTGAGCTAGAGGACACGGCGGAACAGCTGCGTATGAAGAACAGTGGTCTGGAGAAAGCCAAAGCCAAGCTAACAGTCGAGTTAAGAGACATCACCATTGAGCTTGAAAATGTAAGTATTTTTTATGGTGGGGGGTGAGCGGGGTGGTAGAAGGGAGAAGGGGAGTCTATCGAATCCTGTTTCAGGTGTAAATATTTATTCAAGCTTTTTGATAAAACCTATAATTTCAACATATTTCTATAGTTCGTTGCAAGCCATTTTATCAAAAACTGCCCGTTAGATCAGAACGATTTTTTGCATGAAGCCTTAGAATATCCATGACTGAAAAATATTGGTGTTCTTTAGTCTATAGATGCTCAGGATGCTGAATACCGGCTAATTTCTTTGATCTTTTTGAACCATTGTAAATAAGTGCAGTGAAATTTTAGATTTTGCAATAAAAATCTGAATTTTTGGTTGTTCTTCTTCTTCGTCTTCTTCGAGTTCACCGGCTGTGAACTCCGGTGGAAAGTTCTGGTTGTTCGTCCACTTCTGGACTGCAGTCCTGTTCCAGAACCTGAGTGTTGCGTGTGCATCCGTTTGACAGATCTGTATGCAGTCTGTTGGTTCCTTGCCGCTCAGGTAAATGCACTCCGACTTTGAAGGAAGCTCCTAATTAGTCGACTCTTACGACATGCTTTTGGGTAGGCAGTGGAATTTTCGGTTCTATTTTTATTTTGTCAGAGGCGTGTCTTCATAATACATTGATAGGTGAAGTAAATTTATTTGTTGTCATTTATGTTCAACTGAGTTGAGTTGAGCTGAGTCAAGAAAGACATCACAGCAATGGGGGCATTCCCATATGCACTCCGTCTCCATCTTCAGCAGCCAGCTCAGAGTTCCAGTACTAAGGGGACCGTACGCAGTCTGATTATATGTCCATCTTGCAATTCCTCTGAGCGTAGTGTACCCTCCTGGTCAAACCCAAGTGTATCATTCTCTCCAGGCCATGATCAGGGCCTTGACTATTTGGCCTTGACATGTATCAACTCACCACCCAGTGGTGCAGATCCAGCCAATCTGCCTGTCTTGTTCATTTGTAAACATGGCCCTAATATGCAAGTTGGTATTCAACTTCAGTCAACACTGGACCCTACAGAGTATCTTAACAGCACAGCAACTTGTATTATGGTTGTCACAGTTGGATATGGAGATGTATTTGTTGCATTTGTAGATGTACCAAACGGGTTATTTATTTTCAACCACTAATCGAAAAAAATTCCGAGTCTGACGATCATAAAATGTTGACAATTGTTACGGGCTGAATATCTCGGTGCCGGTACTCGTCTTCCTCCAGGGCACATGTTCAACACGCGTTTTCAAGAAATGAATGTATTTGTTAGAAGGACTCACGTGTCAGAACTTCAACATCACACATTGTAAATGTACTGTTCTTTTCAACAACTTGTCTGATGACTTTAGCCCAAACAAGTTCTATCGGGCTGAGGTCTGAAGGATATGCAGGGAGTCGCAGAGATTTTGTCAATGTCATAAACCTTTGTCTTTTTTATTTTCTTCACGAGCTGCAACAACTCTTGTCTTCAAATATGTTTCGTAAAAGTTGACTTTTTCCTTAGCAAGCCATGTCTTAATTTGAAATTTTGTATTTGATGTCGTTGGTACTTTGTCTTCATCTGATACGGCTTTATGATAGTTGGCATTGTCCATTACTAGGCATGATGGTCTGTCCAGAACTGGAAAAAGATCAGTATCCACCCAGTGTCTGAAAATGTGTCTGTTCATGTCAGTGTGGTAGTCCCTACCATCCGTACTTTTTGATTGGAAAATAAGTCCAGCATCATGGATACGGCCTTTTTAACTGCTTCTTGCATACGTGAGTACAATGCGCTGGTCTTTCTGCTTGGAATGTTCCTTTACTGTCCACCGTTTACTGACTGCCGCTCTTTAGCATAGGTATAGTGGATTCATTCAAATATACAATTTCGCTCACGGAACTGCCTCAGGTATTTGCTTCGACTAGCAATCAGATGTGGCTTTTCACAAATAATATTCCTTCCACCTACAGTTTTCATGAAAGTGAGCCCGGTGGCTCTTACCATTTTCCACAGACTACGTTTTGAAATGTTGATACTGCATTTGTGATTTAAATATTAATTTCAGTTTTCGGAGAGTAACACGTTGATTTGTCTCTAATATTTTTAAGATCTCACATTGAATGACATCTACATCAAAGTCGTCAACTTTCATTTGCCTTCCTTGCTTGCCATGAGTGTACACTGTGTCCTTTCTCATGAGTGTACCCTGTGTCCTTTCTAATCCAAGGGTTAAATGATGCTCTATCCAGACCAAGCGTCAATAGCGATCGTTTCTCTGTATCAGGATTATCACAACATAAATTACCCATTCCCGAGAAAGTTCTCGTACAGTGAAATGGTAACCTTCTGCATAGTTATCAGTTTGCATCTCTATGACACAATAACTCAACACTAATTTGTGGATGCGCCTTTGACTAAGCAACATTGACCGACGTATTTTTTGGCGTCAGGTCACTAAGACTTTGTACGAGACAATCATGAAGTTAGGTAGAGATTTATTTACGCCACTGTTAAACCAGTCATAGTCTGCACTACTTCCTAAAGAAAGTTTCATGAAAACAATTATAGATAGTGAAGAAAAAAACTACGTATGACATTTTTTTAGGGAAAAAAAAGTATTTTCTGAACGTCCTGGATATTTTAAGATTGCCTGCAAAAAAATTGTTGCGATCTAATAGGCAGTTTTCGAGAAAATGGCTTGCAAGTGTGATCTTTAGATTTTGAACGAACTATAAACGTGTACTTCACAAGTTAATGTAGCCTATAAAAAAGTAATAAAACAAATAAATATATAATTGTCAACAAATGAAATAGTTTTTTTTTCTCTAAATATTGTTAACAGGAAGAAGTAGAAAGTATTGGCAATGTGACACACCACATTAGGAAGAAAGGAAACTGTTTATTATAGCTGGATTTAGACATACAAACTGGAGACAGGAAAGTAATGTCAACTCTACAACTAGCACACCTTTTTTTTTTAAGATATCAGGTCTCGGCTTCAATAGCAGCAAAGTGATCTCATTATTTATCGTTTGTCCACACATCTGGGGTTTTGACGGCTTGCGAATATATTTGTGAGAAAGTAATGTTTGAGGACAAAGTTGAAGCAATGTTTTCACTACTGTTATATTATCTCAACAGACACAAATAATTGTCCAAGACTTGACTAAGCGCAACAGACAATTAGAGAATGAAAATGTGGCACTACAAAAGCGTGTTGATGAGCTGACTGCTGAGAACAACGGCCTTCGTGCAGATAAGGCCAACCTTGAACAGGAAGTGTACAGATTGCGTGTTGCAAACGCTGAACTGAACGAACGCAATGACAACTTGCAGAGAGAGAATAAACAACTTTCAGGTGAGTTAAATACATGACTCACTCTAAAATTTATGTTAATTGTGTTGTACCACAGAAACAAAGTGACCTCGTTACATTCAAATATGTACACTTCAAATCGGAAGACTCATTCGTAATATTTTGGACCAAAGCGACAGGCGAGGCAGAACATCTAGTACTAAGCAAGCTGCTTTTACTCGCTTACTTTTAATTAAATGAATACATGTGTGAATCTTCGTCGAGCCAAGAATTTCAATATTTCAGATTGATTGAGGCCATTAGGTTGACACAGTCCAAAAGTTATCGGAACTGGATTGATGCCGCCTGCCAAATTTGTTGATCTAAAGTGTTAATTATTCGTATAAATGTTTATGTCATTGCAACATCTAAACAAGATTTTTAAAAAAGTAAAGGGCCCTTTTCCACGCTTTTAGGCGTATAGGGCATAAAGGGCTAGCCCTGCATTTTACAGACCAATTGGCACAAGATGGTTGAAGTGGTCAGTATCACACCTGCCGCCTTTACTTCCCGGGATTGCACCCGGTACCCACTCAAGGCTGGGTCGACCTGGGAGCCAAGGTCATATTTAAAAAAAAAAAATCTGACTCCGCCAGGAAGCGAACCCAGGACCTTCTGATCCGCGGCGCTAGTGTAGTCGTTCCGCCACGGCGAATCCCCATAGCTGGATTAAGGTCAATATTTTAAAAAATATATGGAGTTAACTGACAACACGAAAAATAAGTCAGTCGCATTAACTTTGCAAAAGTTACGCTTACAATAGATTGAATTGTAACTGTGATAGCCTTCGCCATAGGAAAACAAATGATAAAATGATAACTTGAAAAAAAAAAAGTTAAACTGTGTTTACACGTAAGTGGCGAATCAGGCATATGAGGCTAGACTGATATTTATATAAATCAATGGGCCCTTCATGTGTGATGTGGTCTATTTCACGTCAGCCACCTTTATTTTCCGGTACTTTACCTGGTACCCATTTAGGGCTTGGTCGACCTGAAAGCCAGGGTATTGTTTGGAAAAACAAATCCTTCTCCGTGCCAATTTGATCTCACGACCCTCGAATCCACAGACGAGTATCTAGCCGCTACACCTCGGCGGCTCTGAGAATAATGGTAACTGTGAAACTAAAGGACATACTAAGGTGGTGGTCGGCGTCTGTGGCTTAGGCCTTATGAAACCGCGTTTCGTAGTTCTAAGGCTCCCTGTTTGATTCCAGCTGCGAGCATTTTGACAACAGATCACACGACAGTGGTATAGAAAGTCAACCTTTATGGAACAATCTCAACTACTGAACACAAAATTGCCTTGTAAAAATAACGATACAGCCAACGCATCCTGGTGTTGGTGCTACAAAGTCCTGAAAAGGTTCCCAACAAGCTAACCAACGAGGAGACTAAGATATGAGGCACAACGCCAGCGAGATCAAGAACACGATAACTATATAGAAACAGAAAAACTACGAGACAAAGTAAATGAAAACCAAACACAAGATGATGCTGTCAGAACAGACTGTAAACAGACTGTAAACAGACTGTAAACAGACTGTAAACAGACTGTAAACAGACTGTAAACCATAAAAGAGCAAGAATCAAAACACATAATAACAATTATCAGATAACAATTATAATAACAAAATTAACAGAGGTGTTGAAAAACGATAAGTCGGTAGTTGAAATGAATTAATGAACAACAAAAACAGAAAGTTGCAGAGGTGTGCTTTACAAGAATACCAACACAAGTGCAGAGGCGGCATAGGAAGTAGACCAACTTAATAATGAAACACAGACAAAGAGTGTGTGTGTGAGAGAGAGAGAGAGAGAGAGAGAGAGAGAGAGAGAGAGAGAGAGAGACGCACACGAACACATACATACACACACGCACACACACACACACACACACACACAAATAGTTTTACAGCTTAACTTAAAAAAAAAAACATAACAACAAGGTACTTGGACATTTTGCCCCCTCACAAACCCTCAATGTCCCCGGTTTTTGTTTTCCGATGAAGGCCTAACAGCCACAATGCCGATATTGTCATGTAAGTTTACACTTTTGAGCAACTGGCCATTTAAATGATTTATTCACTGTAATAAAACATTTGCATTATCTAACTTCAAATTAATGAACTGCTTCTGATTTGATTGTAGATCAACTACGTGAAGCCAATCAAGCTCTGAAGGACGCTAACCGTGAGCTGGCTGACCTGAGAGCGCTGCGTGCCCAGCTCGAGGCAGAGAGGGATTCTCTGGCTGCTGCACTGAAGGTAAGCATCTCATTATACAGAAGTCATGTTCAGATCAGATACAGGTGAAACTGTGTGGTCATATATAATGAAATAATACAGTTGTTTCTGTCGGGAAAAAGGGGTGCTGGGGTGGGGGGTGGGGGGTAAAAGTTCTAACCGGATGAGTACACTAGTTATGAGTTTATATCTTCGGAATCAAGACTCCATTTTCCTCAACCATCTAGGTATTGTAAATAGAGACAATAATGACAGGTTCGATAAAGTCTAGAAGGCACTGAATAGAATATTATTAACACAACCATTGCAGAGGATGGAACCCAGGGCAATGTTTTTTTGGTGGTTTTTTGTTACAGTAAGCACGCTAATCTATAATTCACCTTGGTCTCCAGTTACATAGATAAGATTACAATTTAACAGGCGGGCGGGGGGGGGGGGGGGGGGGGGGGGGGGTGGGGAGTAGGCACCAATATTGTATTCATTAGATGATGTGAACTACTTCTGTACAATGCAGGATACCGAAGACGCACTTCGTGATGCAGAGAACAAACTGGCAAATGCAAATGCTGCACTTGAAAAACTGAGACAAGACATGGAGGCCAGACTTCGAGAGAAAGACGAGGAACTTGAGAACATCAGGTTTGCTATATCCGTCTATTGTTGCACTGCTTGTCTAGAATTACTTGCACAGGTGGATGTCAGACATTACATCTCGCTGATGGTGATAATTCCAAATGTCAATCGTCAGTCACAATTATTAATCCAGTGATTGGGTAAAAAATGTTTTTGATAGATCAGTTACAACAACAGCGAAAATAGTTTAGAAACGAAATGATGTTGTATTTTTCATAAAAGTATGATCTCAAGTTAACAGTTAATGAGACTACTTAAAACAAATGTACAGCTAAGTGGGAGCCCTGGTATTGTAGTGGCTATACGATTGCATGTGAGCTAGAATTTCTTGAAATCAAAAACGCTTGAACAGAGTTTGTAAAAAACAGTTACCTTGTTTTTAGTGTAAAAATATGTAACGGGTACCGGGAAATATGATGGGAAATAAGAGCAGCCGGAGCGATGTTGACCATACCAGCCATGGAGTATCGATGAGACTATGACCACATGTCTAGCGTCACGTGTCTAATGCGCCTCTGGCGTCAAAGGGCTCTTACTGTTTTTCAACACCTAATAATTATTGATTGCGTTTGCTGTTATGTAACATAATATCCATAATCTGTTAAATAAGTATTAAAATATATGTCTTTGATATTTTTACATTGGAATAATTTCTTGACACCAAGACAGTGTTTCCAAATGGAGAAGTAAATTAATTGCCAATGAAAATGTATCCTAGGCGTAGCAGCGCTCGTGTTATTGAGGAGCTTCAGCGCACACTTATTGAGGTTGAGACTCGTTACAAGTCTGAAATTACCCGCATCAAGAAAAAGTTTGAGTCGGACATCCGTGAACTGGAAGGAGCTCTGGACAATGCTAACAGAGCCAATGCTGAATATCTCAAACAGATCAAGAGTCTGCAAGTCAGAGTCAAGGTAATCTGTCGCGTTGTCTTGTAATTTAAAATTCAAACAGTGCTTAGTCTGAACAAAGAAGATACAAACAATAGATTGCACAATTTATTGCTTGATATATTTCACTACGTCGCGTCAGGTATATACTGCTGTAACAATTCAGGACCGTTCTGGATGGCGTATTTTCCTCAGGCATGGTGCATCAGCCTGCCAGGCAGCGCTGGTTGCACAGGCAGAGAAACCGAGGCAGACCAGAAAGAGCCCTATCGCTAATTCCGTACTTCCACCTGTTGTCCGCGCTGCTCAAGAACTGTCCTGGTTCACATTGAACTAATCTTCGCACTCATAATCATTGATCATAATTGCTTTTGATGAAAAGTTTCATTCAGCACTCATGAAGGACGAACAACAGAACACAGTAACAATTACATACATTAAGCCAAATATTGAGTCCCTTATAACTGAAGTACAAATGCTTAGTTTAGTGAAAAACAAATCTCACGCCTTTTTAGTTGCTGTCGTAGTGATGTGGGCGTTCTGTGACTTAATAAATGTTCCAATACATTAGAATGTTTTCATCAATTCAATTTTCCTGTAGAAATAAAAAATGCGCACATTAAGATTTTAAATAATATTTGGCCATGAAGAAAACTCTCAACCTTTATGCAGGAACTGGAAACCCTTCTGGAGGAAGAGCGCCGCAATGCTGATGATCTTCGAAACCAGCTGTCACTCAGTGAGAGGAAGAGGCTTGCAATTTCTCAAGAGCTCGAAGACGCAAGATCTCTTCTTGAGGCTGTAAGTAAAATGTTTTTACTGTTTAAACCATGTTTAAAACAAAAACAAAATGTTGTCTGTTTACTGTTTAAACCATGTTTAATACAAAAAACAATATGTTGTCTGTTTACTGTTTAAACCATGTTTTAAAAAAAGAATATGTTTTCTGTTTATTGTTTAAACCATGTTTAAAACAAAACGCAATCAGTTGTCTTCGAATTATTGAATGAATTCCCTATAATGAACAAGATGCTTTATATTTATTTGAAATCCGTTAAGTGATAGTTTCTTGAAAATATTTTATAAATTTGTGACGCCTGTTGTCTATGACATTTATAATTAAACTAATTAATCAAACTAACCAAAAAAGAACACTGAAAAATGATGTAACGTCTGTCCCACCCCGTCTGGGCTTAAGGTTTGTTTTTCTGTACCCGCCGGAGGCCCTAGCATAATCTAGTGGTTGAACGGGGTTTCTCTTCATGTGCAATAATCATTCCCTGGTTAGTTTCAGTTCTTGACATGCCCGAAGATTTTTTTGCAAGGAAGTATGCGTATAGAGTTTGTGTACTGTGGTCAGTTGTGCAGGACTGTAAACAGGTTAATTTCTTCTTCTTCTTCTGCGTTCGACATCAGTCATACTAAACATTGAGTCCCGTCTGGGTCAAAAATAGGATTGTGCTTTTAAGGTCGTTTAAGGTCAATGGTTTTCACGGTTTCAGTGCCATACACAATACGGCACTGTTAACTAGTTTCAGTTCCTAATGTTGACCTTAGAGCTTGTTGTGGCATATTCATGACAGTCAATTTTCTAGAAAGGTAACGACAAACATCATTCCTCATCTGATCTGGGGGATATTTTGTCATACAGAAATCACTAAGCATTGGTTCCCGCCGTGGTTGTGTTTTGTTCTGTGCTGTTTTACAAACAGCTACCTTTTTTTAAATGAAGGAAAAAAAGCATGACAAAAGCTGAAAATAAACATTCAAATCTAAAAAGATAATTTAAGATTTAAACTGCATTTCAATTTGTTTCCTATTTACGATATTTTAAATTCAAACATTAGTCCTGTGAAGTAAAGGCGGCCGCGTGATGCTAACAGCAACACCCCCCGAGTACCGATTGATCTATAGAGATATAGTTCTAGCCCTATATTCACAATAAGCCTAAAGGCGTGGTAAAAGGGATCTGTTTGAAACTTTAACATTCTATCTTCTAAAGACAATTGGCTGTATTCAACATTTCTGTGTTTCTTAGTCAAAATAGTCATTCACCTTCAGCAAAATTACAACAAACTGAGCTGAGATGCTCAGTGCGGTGACCGTTACAAATGTGGATTCTAATTATTTGCAGTTTGTTTATTGGGGATATAATCACAATGACAATGTTTTCAATCATTTCTGGAGATACTGATATTATTTAAATATTTTTTCAACACAGGCAGAGCGGGCCCGCAAGAATGCGGAAGTAGAACTGCATGAAGTCAGTATTAGAATTAGCGAACTGACAATTTACGTGACCACACTTACCAACGACAAGAAACGCCTGGAGGCTGATGTTGCAGCTTTGCAGGTAACTTTTCATATTATCTCTGACAGTCTGTTGCGTTTTAAACTTTACTAACATTTTCCCTATTATCGAGGGCAGTCTAATGTATTTTTTACTTTACTAACATATTCTATGACAACGTTTTGTGTGTGTCAGTGTTAAATAAAAGAACACATTTTAAAGAAATATCACAACTGAAACATGTCTGTTAATACTATATATTTTCTATTGACACTAGAGTGACCTGGATGATGCCATCAATAACCAGAGAGCAGCTGAAGAACGAGCAGAGAGACTTGCCAACGAGAATGCTCGTCTGGCTGATGAACTTCGCCAAGAACAGGTAATCAAACAATTTTGGTGTGCCGCACCACTTTCCCCAACAATTGTTTGAAATGTTTTAATAGAATGTTTTTAGCAAGATGACATTATAAAACATAATCCTAACAGACATACATAATCGTAACAACACATTACAAAATATAAGAAATTCTAACATTGATATTCGGTGAAAAAAAAAAAAAAAAAAACAGTTCTGAATTAGACAGCACTGGTGTAATCATAGAACAGTAACAGACTAAATCATATTCATAATACAAGAACATTTTTACATAACGGACTTTCTGTGTAACTATCCCCTTTCCATGGAAGTCATTATTATGAAAACTAGATTTCCAAAAAGTGCCTAAATATTCAATGTTCTATGACGTATAAAATATTCAGCTGTCACCTAAACACATCTACCATAAGTTAATATCACTGTTCCAAAGTAATCTAGACTGACAGTTTGTGAAGATTCTAGAACAGTTTTTTTCTTGAGCCATGTCACGAGAATATTAATAGCAACTGGAATGGAAAGAATACATAACCAATAAACAACTGATGTAGAAAAACAAACACTGGATTCATTCATGGAAAAGGCGTTAACAATGAAAGTACTTTTACCCCACCAGGACATCACACAAGCGATAAACACCCGATGACACAAAGTGCCACCATGTATATGAGTATCACCCGCGTAGAGGTCCCAGAAACCTCTTCCAGCCATTAGGCTATATTAATGACTGGGCTATATTGCGGCCCCTGGCAGGAGCCAGGATAGGGCTTCAAAATAACGAAGCCTCACAAGGGGATGACTGAATGATACAATATTTAGGAACAGAAATAGTAGTAGATTTTTACCCCACTAGGACATCACACAAGCGATAAACACCCGATGACACAAAGTGCCACCATATGGATGAGGATCACCGAGGAGAGGTCCCAGAAATCGCGTTCAGCCATTAGACCATGTTTATGGTCGTGTTATATTGCGGGCCCTGGCAAGAGCCAGAGTGGTGCTTTAAATAACGAAAAAGTGCATCTCGCAAGATCACTGAATTTAAAATGTATGTTAACTGAGCATTAATTAATTTAGCAGCTCACTACGTTGCAAACATTTCGCTAATTTACTCTACAGATTATTAGATGATTGCACAATATCATACAGCAATATTAACAACATTACAAATTATCTAAGCCGAAATACATACGCAACAGATCTGAGAGTCACAAAATGTAAATTGGCAACATACAGTATCAATATTATCGACAAGTTCTTTCCTTTTGTCAAATACAACAGGGTACGAGAACAATTGCTACATTTGTCTCCCCTCTCCCCAAATACATCAGGGTAGGAGAAAACAGTTGCTACATTTGTCTCTCCTCTCACCAGATACAACAGGGTAGAAGAACAGTTGCTACATTTGTCTTCCTTCTCACCAAATGCAACAGTGTAGAAGAACAGTTGCTACATTTGTCTCCCCTCTCACCAAATACAACAGGATAGATGAACAATTGCTACTTTTGTCTCCCCTCTCACCAAATATATTTAATTTTGTACAACGAGAACCAAATTGACAGTCTGTGTAATTATCCCTTGTGCGCGGAAGTCATACAACGAGCATATGATTTACATACATCGATACATGGTCACTGAATACAGACAGCAGAGACAAACTGATTAGGGAACATTGAAATGCCACGCTTCTGCAAACTCATACAATATACATACCATTATGCACACACATATACATATGAGAAAAACATTCACACAGACCTACACGCACACCCACAGCCACACTGTTGAACTGAAATGTGTTAATTAACAAATAAACAGGAGAACTACAAGAATGCTGAAAGTCTCCGCAAACAGCTAGAGATTGAGATTCGTGAAATCACAGTTCGCCTTGAAGAGGCTGAGGCCTTTGCTCAGAGAGAAGGCAAGAGACTGGTTGCAAAACTCCAGATCAGGGTGAGTGTTTATTTCAGATTTTAATTTATTTGCTTTTTAATGGGTTCTGAACATTTAAATCATTCCTGAGTATGCTTGTCTGTCCCTGTGTGGGTTTCTGAGCACCATTTGGGGTGGACAGGAAGCAGGGAGGGGTGAGAAGAAACTCATTCATTCTGACAAGACTGTCGCAAATGTTGACATTTTATGTGTTTTTACTTCGAAGCTGGAGTATGTTTGCCCAAGATTTGAGGATCTAAAAGTCTGTAAGCAAATAAGCGAGATGTTTAGAACGTTTGTGCACGCAGCACTGAAATTCTGTAACAAGACAATAAGTCCAAAATGGAGGAAAAACTGAAACTTTTTGCTCTAGTTACCAGCCAGTGATCGTTAAGAAGACGAAGAAGAGGAGGACGCTGTTTCTAGAAGTAACTTGATCGAAACATTCAACTGCATTTTAGGTGCGCCTTTTCCCTTAACCTTGTCGTTTCTTGAGTTGACAGTGACTTCTTGATAGAATGCAGTCATCTCGTGGCCCCCTGCCCCCACCCCCGCACCGAAAACTGACTTGCATTAGGTTAAGGAAATTTCTAATTCATAATGTAAACATGTCAATGTGAAACTGGATATGAACAAGACACAACTAATAAGCGTGAAGATACGTCTTGTGTCCTTAGATGAAAAACCTATTTTTTTCCGCAGGTTCGTGACTTGGAAGCAGAACTGGAAGCTGAAAGTCGACGTGTCCGTGAAGCAATAGCCAACCAGCGCAAGGCTGAACGTTTCTTTAAGGAGCTGCAGGCTCAGACAGAAGAAGAAAGAAAACAGCTTGCTGAGTTGCAAAGTATCAACGACCAGCTTAGCATTCGTGTCAAGACTTACAAGAGACAAATAGAAGAAGCTGTAAGTAACATTCACAATAAATAAAATTTAAGTTCAGTCAAACACACATAGTTAACAATACATACTAGGATTATCATAAATGTGTTCCATTTAAAAATAATTAACAGTCCTAAAAGTTAAGCCCCTAATAATTAGTCGAGATTCCACCATCAGTCAGACACATCACCGCATTACTGTCTCATTTCTGTGACAATGGAAACTCATGAAAGGTCCTTCACTGTTCCATTTGAAAAGCTCATGAGGAATATGTCAGTCCCGACAAGATCCTGAAGTTCGCAGGTGATGAGTGAATAAATAAGGCAGCCTTCATTTTTGTCAACACTAACAGTCTTGCTGGTAATCGTTGATGCAGTCAGTCAGGAAAGCAGCTATTTGCACCAATATAAGATAGGCCCATTTCATCCATTTACTCGTTAGAAATGAGTTTTCCTCATTACATCTATACGACTAGACGGACTGTTTACTTCTAAGCATTGTTTTTTTATATGAGCTTATTTTCATGTCTTTGATCTGTCCTGACGATTGTATCTTATTCATCTTCGAGAGATGCCTGGACTGAGGCAGACATTGACAGTCAGAGAAAAGAAGATATTAGAAAAAAAAAAAAAAAAGCTTATGTGCTAAATAAAGCCAGATTTCACATCTGGCTGTGAATCCTAGACAATAATTAAACAAACCAAACAATTCCTTGATGCCTCAGGATATTTTTTTAACAAATGAATTTGAATAATTCCATGGACAGTTAAAAAGAGAACCCCAGGTGTTTCGGAAGGGGCGAGCGCTGGAAAACAAGTTACATAAATATCAGAAAGAGTCAGTCATCACTTCTGGTCATGTTGTGAGAAGAAGGAATCTGAAATACATTGTCACTACTAGAAAGATATGCGTGGATTCTTATCAAGGTATAGGGCGTAGCAGGTCGACCCAGTCTAAAATGGGTACCAGGATTGCTGTCCTGGGAAAGTAAAGACGGCTGGCGTAATGCTGACCACATTACCCATCCAGTGCCGTTTGGTCTGTAAAAATATGGGACGCTCTTCCCATATACCCAATGCGCCTAAGGCGTAAAAAGGGATCTTTACTCTACTTACTTGAAAGATATGGGGAAAAGAGGAAAAGAAACACAACGCAAGACGCTTCTTGACAGCTAATTGTCATAACTAGAGGGGTGTCAGCACACAAACTGATACATGCCGTTGAAGATCACATATTGTGGAAAGGAATGATCACCCACACTTTTAGGCAAGGTACTTGATGAAGATCACTCACACCAGTAGACAAGGTACTTGATGATGATCACATACACCAGTAGACAAGGTACTTGATGATAATCACCCACACCAGTAGGCAAAATACTTGATGATGTTCACTCACACCAGTAGACAAGGTACTTGATGATGATCACATACACCAGAAGGCAAGGTACTTGATGATGATCACATACACCACTAGGCAAGGTACTTAATGATGATCACTGACACCAGTAGGCAAGGTACTTAATGATGATCACCCACACCAGTAGACAAGTTACTTGATGATGATCACCTACATCAGTAGGCAAGGTACTTGCTGATGATCACTCACACCAGTAGGCAAGGTACTTAATGATGATCACCCACACTTGTAGGCAAGGTACTTGATGATGATCACTCACACCAGTAGGCAAGGTACTTGATGATGATCACTCACACCAGTAGGCAAGATACTTGATGATGATCACCAACACTTTAAGGCAAGGTACTTAATGATGATCATCCACACCAGTAGGCAAAGTACTTGATGATAGTGACCCACACCAGTAGGCAAGGTACTTGAGGATGATCACTCACATCAGTAGACAAGGTACTTGATGAGGATCACCCACACCAGTAGACAAGGTACTTGATGATGATCACCCACACCAGTAGGCAAGGTACTTGATGATAATCACCCACACCAGTAGACAAGGTACTTGATGATGACCACCCACACCAGTAGGCAAGGTACTTGAGGATGATCACCAACACCAGTAGGCAAGGTACCTGGTGATAATTACCCACACCAGTAGGCGAGGTACTTGATGATGATCACCCACACCAGTAGGCGAGGTACTTGATGATAATCACCCACACCAGTAGGCAAGGTACTTGATGATAATCACCCACACCAGTAGGCAAGGTACTTGATGATAATCACCCACACCAGTAGGCAAGGTACTTGATGATGATCACCAACACCAGTAGGCGAGGTACTTGATGATAATCACCCACACCAGTAGGCAAGGTACTTGATGATAATCACCCACACCAGTAGGCAAGGTACCTGGTGATAATTACCCACACCAGTAGGCAAGGTACTTGATGATGATCACCCACACCAGTAGGCGAGGTACCTGGTGATAATTACCCACACCAGTAGGCAAGGTACTTGATGATGATCACCCACACCAGTAGGCAAGGTACTTGATGATAATCACCCACACCAGTAGGCAAGGTACTTGATGATGATCACCCACACCAGTAGGCAAGGTACTTGATGATAATCACCCACACCAGTAGGCAAGGTACTTGATGATGATCACCCACACCAGTAGGCAAGGTACTTGATGATAATCACCCACACCAGTAGGCAAGGTACTTGATGATGATCACTCACACCAGTAGGCAAAGTACTTGATGATGATCCAAGCCTTTGATGCCACTTTCATGCACTTAGTTAGGAAACTTGTATTGGTATGCAAAAGAGAAAGATACAAGTAAGTGTTTTACAAAACACCAAACCCAACAACGGCCGCTTGTGCAAATATTGTCAAACATTATGTAGAAGACTCTTTTCAACACATTAGAGATGATTGGACAATATTTTAAACAGAAACTGGCACTAGTTGCATAATGTGGTCAATATCGTGTCGGCTGCCTTTACTTTCCACAATACTTTCAGGTACCCATCTTATCCTGGTTTGACCTGGGAGGCCAGATAACTTTAAATTTAAAAGAACAGACGTTTTTTCAAACTATCGGCAGACATGAGCGCTAGCTACTAAAGATGCTTTTATAGCAGTTATTATAGATGTGATGTGATGTGTTATGCCTCTAGTACTGGTCACAGACAGCCAGTCCTTCAGTGTTGTAGTGAGGTATTATAATGTTTAATATTTGTATCAACTGTGCTAATGTGATCACCCCCCCCCCCTACCCCCTTCTTTCGTTTTCCACCGGTTTTTGTATAACTTGAAATCCACAATCAGTAATTTTGAAACAGCGACAGAGTCTGCTAACAGAAATACTGTCTAAATGCGATATTTATAATTGAATTATTGTTTTCTGTATAAAATTCGATTGATGCCTCTCCTCATTCATCTTCATAATCATCGCCACAAGGTATCAAATCTTTCCTTTTTGCAATGTTCCTATAACAAGTTTTGAACGTTTTCAAAATATTCCTTGATTACCATGCTATACATTTGAGTTCCACGATAAGCTCCTCAACCGAACTAGGTCGCGTTCCACTGATACATTTTTTAGACTTGTCTGGGTAACGGCAATGTTGTCCTTTCTGGCTTGTCTTGCATTTACGTTTTTCTTCCGAGAAAGAGGATACCTGTGACATAGGTTGCAGCACTCTCTAGGGGGTTGTGGGTTAGACCAAGTTTGTAAATGTTTTTGTAGTGTTAAAAGCGCTGACGTGCTTCAATATGCAACACGCGATATCAACGATTTGCCAAACACCCCCCTAGCAGTGTGCGAAGGTCGACCAAACAGAAATGAGCTAGTGTGTAACTTGGGAAGATTGTCGTGGATCATACCCTATATATCTCGTTCCCTTCCGCAGTCTATCGTGTAAGCTGTTGTCGAATTTGTATCAGCTTGTCTGTGCTCATGAAGTGTAGGTATATTCATGCCCCTCTCCTTTTCATGGCTTTACTCTCTGCATCCCCTCCCCCCCCCCCTCCCACCTTTCGCTAGTAGATGTACTCGAATTGTTTTAGTGATGTTGTATCGATCAAATAAACGAACCTTAACTGAATCATCTATTTCCATCAACAGGAAGACGTGGCTAATCTGACAATGAATAAATACAGGAAAGCCCAGGCTCTCATTGAGGAAGCAGAAGCGAGGGCTGATGTTGCAGAGAAAAATCTTCAAGTTGTACGCCGCTCCCGCTCCATGTCGGTCACACGAGAGATCACCAGAGTGGTCAAAATCTAATTTGTTACAAAAGTATGTGTCTTTAACTCATTGTCTTGTCGCACAGTGTTGTTATGAGAAATGAGTTAAATTATAAGGTGGGTTATCACCACGGAACCTTAGATCCGTTCATAGCTGCTCACTGATTGATCGATCGGATTGACTCGTCTGGGATTCTACCTTAAGGTTTACCAGCCAGAATAAAATCTCAGCGTGGATTGCGGTCGTTTGAGAAATAGTATATTGTTAAAACAGTGGGCAGTTGAGGATAAAAGGATACATGATAACTATGCATCGTAATTGCTACATGCAGGCAATTCACAATCACACAAATCCACCTGTTTGTGATAAGGGTGATTGTCTGTCTGGCCATAGAGAACCCCAGGCCGATGCACAATAACTTGTGAAAACCCTTCCAGACCTCCTGTCTGCGGCCTGTCACGTGACCTTGAGATATCCTGCGGAGAGGGACCGAGACAAATGGGATAAAACTCGGTGCAGTAAAGTCGATCCTCTCGACTTTAACCTTTAACCTTTAAGTCATTGACTCTGTGAGTTCTGCAAATGGGTCCGCGGCTCGATTTACATGTTACTCAAAAAGGTTTTCATCTGAACCAAGCGATAGGAATACATGGACCATAACCTAGGGGCCACAACCTTTCATATATCCATATACTGCATACAACAATTGCGCTTATTTCTTTCCACAGAATGAGAGTTACACAATGGAACTCTATGTCCGGAGAGCCAGTCGGTGCAGTGCTTTTATGTTCGACAAAGTCCACGTTGCAGTGTATACTTGCGCTCTACTCCCTACCCAAGCCCATGGTGCAGCAAATTGTCTCATACAGCCAATCATGTAGATCATTTCTTGTGCTTTTTTGTAAATTACGTATTGTGTCTAACTTTGCTTTTGCAGTAAGCATAGCATTTTGTTACAGTAAGCAATAGTTGACTGTTAGCGTAATTTCAGTTCAAAATTTGTTCGTCTATTACTTACGTGGCTGTTCATTTCTAATATTATTTTCAAGGAGCTATAATTGTCAAAATTGTTTCGTTACATTTCATATTTTTAGTATTGTGACGTCAAAATAATTTAGTTAATGGATTTAAATGTGTTTGGTTTTCTCATCAAATCATATTTAATATATTTGTCAAGACTTTCGACATGATAGAATAGATAAAGTGTATATTTTACTCAGGTAATGAAGACAACAAGTTTTATTTGTTTCATCGCATCTGTTCATGGAACATGAGTTATTACATTTACAAATTTCACGTTTAAAAGACTAGCTGACTTTAACAAATTTAAAGAATTATAAAAATTATTTTCATATTCTTAGCGCGAATATATTAGGTACTAATGATGACATTCTGTCAATATTGTATTGTTTACTGTTCACACGCAGTCATTCCTGCAGATGTTATATGTATACCTGTCCCTGGGCTTAGTTAATGACTGCTGCAGTCACAATATTGTTGCATGAGCTACGAGTAGTGCTATTTTTATAACGGTCACGCACACACGCGCGCGCACACACGCACACATACACAACATTTACAAGAAAGGACAAGCAAATCTAATATTTTGAAAGAGGAAAAAATTTTATGTAACAATAACTAAGATACAAACCAATTCGAACATTGAACTTACAGGAACATGTTACAAACAGGCCAGTTCAACAACACAAGTGCCTACAAGAGACAGTTATCAGAAAATGAAATTTGTAACAGTAATATGTCAGTACAAGCTAATTAAAAACAGTTTTTACTCAGACAGTTTCGTTGTTTTTGTTTTATTTTAATTAAAGACTAATACTTTACGTGAAATATAAGTGGGTTATTTGTTTGGTGTATTCTCATACAAAATGGAAAGTTGAATTGCATCAAGATGGAAATGGAGATTATGAACATCAACATATTAGGAATTAGTGAAATGCGATAGCCAGGAGCAGGGTAAAAGAATTCAGATCAGCACAGAATTATTTACTCAAGTGGGAAGGAATGTAGTAAGAAAGTTGGTATTATTTTGGATACAAAGAACTGAATAACTGTGAAATGAGTTAGGACAATATCATGAGTACTATTAGTAAAATTTCATGGCAGACCGTTGGACATCAACTTAGTACATATTCATGCCTCAACAGCAGATAGTTCAGAAGAAGAGATTGATTCATTTTATGACGAGTTAGATATGGTTGTTGATCAATGCAAAAATTGTGAAGTAACAATGGTACTTGGAGATTTCAACACGAAAAGAGAAGTGAAAAAGTGTACGGAATAAGAGGTGGCTATGGCCTAGGGAAAAAATTAATGTGAGAGGTGTGACAGCATGATAATATGTAACACCTGGTTACCACACTATCCTCTAGATTATGGTCAGACAAGAATACAAAAAGAAAAAAAAGAAATAGATAAATTCTGCAGTTGTAAAAGAAGGAAGAAAAAGAAGAGCCTCAAGAATACAAAAAGAAATAGTAAATAGTTGTAAAGTGGCTAAAGAAGCCTGGCTAAATAAAATGTGAACAGAGGTTGGGAAAATCACGGGAAAACTCACATTCCATGTACCACAGATAAATATGTTAACAGGTAGGATGATTCGTAACAGCTTCTGTCATTTTAAAAAATAGTTTCCATTCTATTCTTTTGTCTTTTGTGACAATCCTATATATTAGAATTTTGAGCATGCTTCAAAGATTATGATAAACTTTCTAGATAACAGAACAGGAAGCTGGCATTTTGTAAGCTGTAAGCCCCGCTGAGTGTAAGAGAGTCTGATTTTTTCTGCGTGGCTAAGTGGTCTCAAGGAATGGTGTCTGACTTGAGTGCTGGAGGTCCTGAATTAAGGCCCCAGAGAAGGCTAAGTATCTTTTTCACTTGAACAAGTAATTTCCCCTGATTTCTGGGTAGTAAGATGGACGCCTGTGTGTATTGCTGCGCACGTAAAAAATCCCTTGGCAGTCGAAAAAAAGAAGCTAATTTAGTGTTAAAATCTACCAAAAGTATTTCAGGATCATCGCCGTTGCTTCAGAGTTCGTGCACTGCTCTGAGATTCTTCGGGCTCAGGCTCGAGTTGAAAGTAAAACGGAGAACTTATGTTTGTTTTAGTATCCAGAAGCCATGAGTTGTTAACCCTTAGGCTCGGTATTATGGATATCGCAACCCTTCGGCCTTGATTCCATTGTAAATACCGTAAATCTGGGAGAAAATGTGGCTTTCCTGCCTACCCCCGGGATTGAACCCGGACCACAAGGAGTACGTCACCCGGTCTCCGCGAAATCCGGTTTAGCCAATTCCGCTAGAGAGCCGGGCAAACGGAGAACTTATAGGTTACTACTCTTGTGCCACTATGTTGTTCCGTTGTATAAGCCAAACCAAACCAAGCTGTAGTTGCATTACGTTACACACACACACACCCACATATTTATGTGTGTGTATACACACACACACACACACACACACACACACACACACACACAACTGTAAATATTAAACCCTTGTTTCTGTGATTTTGCAGTCTGCTTTCCTCGCTGTAAAACTCACGAATCTTCTGTAAGCACTACCTCATCTCTGTTAGCAATGGCTCATTTATTATCCTCTTCTTGCACTCACCTACTGTAGGTTTCGGCGGAAGTTCTGGTTGTTCATCCACTTCTGGACTTTGCGCTTGTTCCTGAACTTGAGTTGTGCATGTGCATTTTTTCCCAGATCTGACTCTTATGTATACAAACTGTTAGTCCATAGCCTCACAGGCTTCCTGACTTAAAAGGAAGCGCAATTATTCAGTTGATCTTTACGACATGCCGAGTAATTTGCATTTCACACATCTAATATTCAGGCAGTCACGTCTTTAAAAAAAAAGTGTGACTGCCTTATGTGCCAACAGAGCAATGATAACTTAATGCAATAAAAGTCTAGGGACATTTGGTAAAGTGACCCCAATATAACGTAACAAAAAGGTACTTCATGAAGTTTAATTTGTATCATAAGAAAGTCTCAATGGTGCAATGCATTGGCTAGCTGCACTAATCACACACGACATGTTAGGTGATCTTGTCGTGTTAAAAGATGCAGATAAGTAATACAATCAATTGCTTAAAAAAAGACAACCATATTAATTCTTGGTAGATCCCAAACCCTCAGTGGTGTGCGTTTCTTCTTTTCTTCAGATGATTGTTTATCCCATTTTTAATAGAAACCATGGTTTATTTTAATTTGCTGTTTCGTAATGATTCAGACTATTTATTCTGATGTCAGTGAATCTTGCTTGGATAAACTATTTCATAAACTATTATTACACGTATGTCATATCTATAACTCCATATACCCCTGTTCACAAAACTTTCAACTGTTTACTTTGAATTTCACATTTGGCACCTTGTGGGGAATATGTTGTATGTAATATGTAATGGTATTGCATGTATTTGCTGAGCAAAATGCTTTTAGGCATACTATTTCAAAGCTACTATAGCAAAAGGGTTTTCTGTAATACATTATCCATGTTAAATCACATGTTCAAACATATCTCACTGTATAGATCTACGCTGTCACGATGATACAGATATCAAATCCGCACTGCTTTTAATTGCCGGTCTCTATTTTCTACATAATGCAATAGACCCTCTGAACACCAACAAGTCAAGAACTCTGGATTTTCTATATATTATGAATGTTTAAAAAACAACAACAACAACGTAATCAAATGGCATGCTTGTATCAAAAGTACTAACATTCAACTATAACTAGTCACAATTAATGCTAAATAATACCCAGACATATAAAAGTGTTCAGTGTAAGAGTCGCCCAGACAACTAATGTTATGGACACTTTTCAAAAGACTTTATATATATGTATATGGCAGATAGAATTGTGCTAGAAGAATCAACTAGCTAAAGATGAACACAATAGTGCTTTGTTACATTTTACACATCAGATTATGCATATTTGGAGACCGAATGCAGTAGCGGTGGTGAATCCCTACTCAACCTGTGTTTCCAACAAGGACTTTTAATAAAAATAGTTTTTAAACATCGGCCTGGTCACAGCTAAACCAAGGGACAAACTTAGAATTGCCATTCTGAACACTCAAAAATAAATGGGGAACCAAAAAGCAGACAAACGAATAGGAACTGCCTGTTGCTATAATAGAGTCAGTCAAAGATTTTATTTCTAAAACGGAGGAAGCATCCAAAACATGAATTAAATCTCCCTAGGAAGAAAATTACGATACACAGTGATTAATAAGAAAAGATGCGAAACGAATTAAAGCTTCAAGAGGCGAATGCTTGACTGCAACCACCATCATGAACAAACTTGGCCCCAGTGTGCCAAGCAATTTTGTTGTCGTTCAAAATCCCCACCTCGACTGTCGTCAGGAGCCCTTATATAACCCACTGGTTGAACGAGGTTTCTGGGATTTATGCCCAGCTGATTCTCATCCGAATGGTGGCACATGCGCTCACAGGGTATTCCTCGCAGGTTGTGCGGTTCTGGTAAGGTTGAACGTCAGTCACTCACCATCATAAACAACAAGAGAGGCAGTCCCTTTTTGAATCAAAAAGCAGATGCTAGTAAGATTTGTAGTGGTTTTTTAAAGAGCTACTCAGCCCTAAAATTGTGCTCCTAAAAGCAGTCACCAACATTTACCAAACTTTAACACATCTGAATTAGAAAAAAAAAAAACCTGTTTGAACAGAAGAACTTTAAAAACAAAGCTCATGATTTAGATCAAATAACCACAGAAGCTATTTAATTACGTAGTCAAAACTGAATGGCTCACAAGAATTTTCAATACAAAATGGGAAGAAAGGAAAATTGTAGATGACTGGCAGCAGACATTAATAGAATAGATTTGACCCCTCCCCCAAATCCTTGAAAAAAAAAAAGTGATACAAGAGAATGTTTATCGTACAAAGTTGTAACACTCTAAATCCACTTGGACAATGTGTCAAACATTAATTGATAGCAGAATTGGTCAGGCGAAGGCAGCATTGCAGAAGATGATTTGAGAAGATAAAAAGTATCTAATGAATTAAATTACTCTCATTAAACGTCAGAAAACGAGTACTAAAATGTTACATCCAGCCTGTTCTGTTGTATGGTAGTGAATCTTGGAATGTGAGCAAAACAAATTAGGACAAATTTAGAGGCAACAGAGATACAGTTCTTGAGAAGAATGCTGCAAATATCTTGGACTGACAGAATAACTAACAAATGATTGCATGGAAATAGTTATTAGTAGAACATAATTTACAACAATGAGAAGGTCGTAAGCAAATGTTTTTTCGTCTTGTAATGAGAAAAAAAAAGCACCGGAGAGTATGAGTATCGAAGGATCACTGGTAGAAAAGGCAGAGGCAGACCAAGCGAAATTGTTGGTGGATGGTTTAGGACAGTGGCATGGAGGAATATCATTAGTAAAAAAGATCCAGAACATCAAAAAAAAAAAAAAAAAAAACCGAGATCTGTGGAGATGCATGAACGCCTACGCCAGCTGGGAAAGGCATTCGATAATGATGATTTATGATTATCAAACCGCTGGCTGTCACATGGGCAAGGGAAAAGCAGGCAAAAACAGGTATGTTAAAAGAAAGAACCAGTCTACTTTGCGATTACTTTGGTGGGGTAATTTTGCAAAGCAGAATTTAAAAATAGTTTGAATATTTACGGATATAATTTTTGTACCGACAGGTGCTACACCTAGTATTTCTTGACATATCACTACAATAATGTAGCTGAACAATCTATGACAACAGAAAATCATTCGACAATTACAGTTAAAAATTAATTAACCATTTTCTTCTTGTTCTTTTTGTTCTTGTTGTTCTTCTTGTTATTGTTCTTGTTCTTGTTCTTCTTCTTCTTCCACCTTGTACCTCATTGAAATGTCAGGGGAGATGTAAAAATCGTTAATAAGCTCTGTCACGAGCACTATTAAGACTGATGTTTATTTCTGTAAGGCTGTTCTTAATGCCATCACTTCATATTTTCCGAGGTCTTCCACTCATTCTATACCCGTTGTAACGTATAAGTGTGACTCGCAGTGGCAGATAGTACCAGGGCATTCTTGTTAGGTGTCCAAACCACTTCATTTGTTGTTCTTTGATGACCTGGCTTTATTACTAGTATTCGTATGATTTCTTGATTTTGTATTGTGTTATTTAACCTGGCAGGCTTAAATTGGTAGGAAGTAGAGCAACAGTAACATTATTTAGTTTTCAGAGCTTTTTCTTGGATATGTGTGAAATTGCTTGCTTTTCCAAACAGTTCGCTCTCCTTAGGTGTCCATACAGCCGATAAATATATACGTAGTCGAAGAAATGAATCATTTAGGCATTGGCATCACTTCACGCGCCCCGTCTCAAGTGCCCCGTCTCCTTTTTTCAGTAGCCAACGAAGAGTCGATATAGTAATAGTAACAATAGTACCAGTTGCACACTGTTTAACAGCCTGTCTATGTTCCGTTCAGTGTTGAATATCTTCCAGATTAACAGCCTGTCTATGTTCCGTTGTGTGTTGAATATCTTTCAGAACCTCCACTCTTCCCCACCCCCTCCCCAGCTGAATTTATTAGTCATTCAATGTATGGATTCTCTGTCTATTCCATTGCACTGTCTATTTGACCCCAGAGAGTCTTCACAATGTCCGCTTCATGGTAAAGCAGCTTCCCGTCCAGAGCAGTGGCAACAGCTAATCTAAGGGCCTGCTTGTAACCTCACACACCAGAATTTCTTGGACAGAAAAATGCACGATGTGCTCCACATCTGAGTATTATCAAGTGATGCTAGCCACTCTGTGCACAGAACGCCAGCTTAAGTTTTCCCAAGCATGCTCTCTCAGTCCCGTAATACAAAATTAATTGAATATACTGATCATTGGAATAATTCTCACAGAGCACAGATGCCATCAGAATTGCTGTTCAACACATTTGTTATTGGCCCTGTTGGTTCCATTGCGAATAATACAACTACCAGTATCATCATCTAAGTCTGCACATTAAATTGACTAAAACAAAGGATAATAGAAAACTGCAAATTATTTTTCTACATGACATAACGGCAGAAGTGGTTTATGACAACGAAGATGATGTTGTTGAGTCACCTCTCATCAGCTGGCCAGTACATCGACATCAAAATGCAGATCTGTAGCTCATAAGCGTCATTCTTGCTTCACATTGTTTATACAGCGGCACAATACAAAACTGCAATATCTGGTCAATAAAATACATCATTTCTGTTGCGAATTAAACAGTTGTCAAAAACTGTTTTAAAAAAGTGAATCAAGATTGTATTATATAGAATATGTAAAGGACTATTACTGTGCACTGATAAGAGCAAAAACCGCAGAAAAAGATTCTTAAAGTATATATCAAATGTCATTACATGCATACATGCGAAGCGCACAAACACGCATGCATGCGCACGCGCCCACACATACAGATAGCGAAGTGCAAATGACTCGGTTGGTAATGGGTACAACAATATTCGTTAGAGAAATTCAAAGCAATGTTTCCCCGATGTGAATTTGAACAAAGAAGACACAAACAATAGACTGCACAATTTATTGCCTGGCATATTTCGCTGTATCTCGTCAGGTGCATACTACAGTAACAAGTGAATAAATGAAGCAAATAGCTGAATCCTAAAAACTGAAACACAAATTCGAGTACATTCTACACTGTCTGTTTCACCAAGGTAACCTTAAGGAAACTACCATTTCTTTCTGCCTACAGAGATCCGGTTTTAACCGGTGGATCGCGGACGCTTCCGCGTATCTGAGTAATCTACGGTTGGCCGATGTGTAAATAATTCGAAATGCATCATCCCTGTTAATGATGTGCCCGGATATCCAGGTGGTTTTATTAAGTGCCATTGCCAGCCACCTAAACCAGTTACCTTAGAAATGTCGGTGCCAAAAAAACAAGTTTATATACATCTAACGTTTCGGGGAGATGACGTCATGCAACGTGTATATGACCGACTCAAAACAGCAGTCGGTCAAACCTTTTACGCAGTCATGCCCGTTATGAGATTCAAAACCACCACGATTCCTACGCCACCTGTAAAAGAACCAGTCTCGACGTACGCCAGATCTAACTGTTTATACCAATTTAAATGCACCTGTAACGCTGCATATGTGGGCAGAACCGATCGACGACTGGAGAAACGGGTTGCTGAACATATTCCACTATGGTTGGTAAAAGCAATGCAAAACACTAACACCTCAACAACAACGAATCAGGTGACTGGTCGACAAAATCCATCATCAGCAATTGCGTGCCACATTCTAAATTCCGGGCACATCATTAACAGGGATGATGCATTTCGAATTATTTACACATCGGCCAACCGTAGATTACTCAGATACGCGGAAGCGTCCGCGATCCACCGGTTAAAACCGGATCTCTGTAGGCAGAAAGAAATGGTAGTTTCCTTAAGGTTACCTTGGTGAAACAGACAGTGTAGAATGTACTCGAATTTGTGTTTCAGTTTTTAGGATTCAGCTATTTGCTTCATTTATTCACTTGTTATTGTAGTATGCACCTGACGAGATACAGCGAAATATGCCAGGCAATAAATTGTGCAGTCTATTGTTTGTGTCTTCTTTGTTCAATATTCGTTAGCTTGGTGCGAGCACACAATACGGTACCTCTGGAATGCAGAACATCAAAAGTTATACACACATAGCATGTACATTGTGAAGAATGTTTGCAGGCAATATAAACGAGTTTAAACCAAAGTTTGAGTTTTGTGCAAAACGGATTCCTCATCTCCCGGAGTGTTCGCTGTTGTAAACTGAAAAAAAAAAAAAAAAACCATAACAGCGATTAAAACATGATAGTACCTGTTATATTATTATAATGTAAAAATAAGGCATGCATGACACACACACACACAAATACACGCACGCACACACACACACACACACACACACACACACAAACACGCGCGCGCGCGCGCATTCGCACACACGCGAAGACACACAAGCTGTCGAGAAACATCTGAGAAAAGCCGCCAACTTGGCCATCGTGGCCGAGTAAGAAATGAAATTATTAGACAGACTGTGAGAACAATACTTTGCATACAAATTATAGAAACAGATACAATTATTGGTCATTTTGTTAAAATGGAGGGGGAAAAAAAACGACCTCCCATAAGCGAGTCAGCAAATAAAGATCTGATATATTTTGCAATAATGCGCCCAGGGGGAAGATGCTTTAATGACAATAAAGACATTCCATCTCCACGGAAGGACATGAACAGTGTAATGTGGCTTTGTTTCATTGAACTCATCACATTGTTGTACTGACGTTCTTATATTAAGTTATTATGAACACACCGACGACAAAAGGCAATTACTGATCTTTATTAGCTATTCCAACCGCTACACTGTCCAGTCGCTCATCTGTATTCTCGTGGCTGCTACACATGGCTGATTTTTAACAACAGTTCGAACTATCTCACGCTTGGAATCTCTCAGCAGTTACGTTTTGTACCATACATAATACATCAGGCTAACATCTTGTTCCTTGTACCTGTACACAGTCGAAGCTTGCAGTCAGTAGACTTTCATTCCTCATCTCGAACAATTACACGTGATCAGACAGTCGGCATTCTTCTCACCCATCTAGCCCCAAACGGCTAACTACTTTTGCCAAAGATGCTTCAAGATAAACATAGAAAATGATACTGATCATGAATATGATGATGGTGATGAATAAAAAATGATAATGATGATAAAGATGACAACAAAGAAAATGTTGATGATGCCTACGCAGGTTTATTTTACTTAAAAAAACCGAATAGGAACACAAAAGCAACCTGCCGTGTCCCACATTATAACATTATAAGTAACTGCAACTGATCGTCCTTCTCCTTCTCCTATCTGTCTGTCTGTTGTCTTTCACTGCTTAATGCAGATCATCATCAGGTGCCTTGCAGACTTTCGTGGGTGATCATGCCTTTCCACAATCCATGATCTCCTACAGCATGTATCAGTTCGTATACTGACACACCTATATGCCATGCAACAAGGCTGTCAAGAATATTCTTTCGTTGTCTTCCTCTATTCCTCCTTCCACAGATCTTTCCATTGGTCACAACATGTTCTATTTTCCCTCTTCTCATAACATGGCCGAAACATGATGACTGTCTCCTTCTGATGTCTGTGACAAGATGTCTTCGAGCTCCAGCCTCTTTCAAAACCTCTTGGTTGCTCTTTTTTGCTGTCCAAGATATTTTAAGCATTGTTCTGTAAAACCACATCTCTGAGGCCTCAAGAAATTGTTTGGCCTGCCTACCGATTGTCCAGGATTCACAGCAATATGTTAAAACTGGATGTATGTAGCAAGCAAGAATTCTTTTTCTAACTCTCAATGACAAGGATATATTGCACAAGATATTCTTCATTTTATAAAATGCAGTTTTTGCCCGTCCTTTTCTGTTTCCTATCTCAGTTATGTATCTTTCATCTGATGTTATCCATGTGCCCAGATACTTAAATTTCTGTACTTGTCCTGAAATAACACCATCGACTTTTATTACACATTTAGGAATAATTCGTTTCTTTGATACCACAAATACTTCTGTCTTCCCATTATTCTGAGGTCCATTCTTCCACTTTCCGACTCCACAATGTCTATCATTTTCTGTAGTTTTTCTGACTTGTTGCTATCAATACTGTGTCATCAGCATAACGTAAATTGTTTATATTGTTCCCACCAACCACAATTCAGGGCATATCAATTAAAGATTTTACTATATATGTTGTCTATACTGAAATCAAATCAAGTGATATTACACATCCTTGTAGTACGCCCCTCTTTATGCTTTGAAATGAACCTAAACAGTTGTTAATTCTTAAAGCTGCTGTTTGCTGTCAACACATATTCTTTATTATTCGTAGATTTTTTCCATCAATGTTTAATTTTTCTAATAGTTTGATTACTTCTTCATGCTTTACACAGTCAAATGATATTCTGAGGCATAACTGACTAGGCATAATAAAGGAGTGGTTTCCCCTTGCCTTCTGACGGTTTGTGTATGGTTTAACTAAAATAGCCTTTGTCTAAAGAGACTTACCCTGCAAGGCAGCAGATGGGAGAGGTTATGGCCCCTCTTACCCCCCCCCCCCCCCCTCCCCGATGGCCATTTCGTAGAATTTTGAGATATTTTATAGAGTTAGCTGTCCCACCAACTAACTAGCCTCCTCTCAATAATGCTGATAGGCGTAGCAAATACGGCTGATGATCGGTTTCCGGGATAGTGAGGTTTGAGGTTTGAACAACGGATCAACATCATTGCACACAGGTAGTAACCCACAAGTGCTCCGTTCTTCTTCTAACTAAAGTCTGAGTCCGATGAAGCTTAGCACAGTGCACAGGCTCTGTAGCACCGACGAGGACCCTGAAATACTTTGGGTAGATTTTTAGCCCCAAATTTTGCCCGGGCAGCGCCGTTAAGGCTACTCTTTTCGATTTCTAACTGTCAAGAGATTTTTTAATTGCGCGACAATGTACACAGGCGTCCAACCTCACTACCCAAAGACCAAGGTAAAATACTAGAAATTCAAGTTCACGTGAAAAAATCCGAGACCTTACTGGGGATTAAACTAGGAACCTCTAGCACTCTAGGCGGACACCATGCCTGGAGACCACTCAGCCTCCTCTGTGATAGTGAGTGCTCGCTAGCTTGTGCCTGATTTTGTTGAGTTTTAACAAGTTAACTCCATCTAGCCACAACTTCTTCTTGGCCTTCCTCTGCCTCTTAATGTTTCAATTCTCACGTTCTATGCTCTGGCAACCGGGTAGCCAGGGTTCATTTCGACCAGATGACTAAACCATTTCAGTTTGTTTTTTTCAAAGAATTTAATTACAAGTGTTGTTCACACCATTCCAGTAATATCTCAGTTTCTTTTATGGTCTCTGCTTGTTACGTTAAATGCTTTTTCCAAGCATCTAATTTCACGCATTGTTTGTTTCCGCTCGTGTTCTTTTGTTAATGCCCATATATGGCACTGGTAAAACAATATTGGTAACAAGATTTACATGCTAGCAAATGATGGGGAAAAAAATTAAGACTGCCTGAAAATACATCTAACTAACCATGTTTGTTGTTGATATGCCAGAAAATCATCTAACTAACCAAGCTTTTTGTTGATATGCCAGAAAAGAAATCTAACTAACCATGCTTGTTGTTGATTTTAAGGGTGTTCTTTGATCATTTGAGTCTTCCTCTGAGTGACCACTGATAGAAAGTCTAAACTTGGAGCGTGCTTCAGAACCAAATGACACCTGGAAGCAAACAAAGTTATAGCTTGGAATATGCAGTGTCATGTTGTTATTACAATAACATAAAGATTACCTTTCAAACACTACAATATAAACAACTCTTTGGAAAAATGGCACCAAACACAACGACAGTATACTGTAACAGTCAGACACAATGATATTTCAGAAAACATTTAATCTTTAAAGAAAGACATTCAGCGCAATGTTAACGCTTACGTTTTGCTTTCTGGAGTCCACTTTGGTTTTGTAAAGAAATTCAAGTATCACAGAAATCATGGAGAGGCCCAATCCTGCGACAAGAATGTAAAAGATGCCAGCCACTTTGGACAAGGTCAAAGACGCATCAGTCTCCTACAGCAAATGCATGTCAAAAATAATTATGTTAACATACAGATATTTATACTGCTATGCATATTTCTGAAAAATCATGTTTCTAGTATTACGAATTACCTCTATAGTGCGTGTATTAAATATGGGAATCACACTAAAGCAGAGATCTAGTTCCTATTGTCTGCCCACATCTTTTTGTCTCCAGCCTTGCTTATCGATATATTATTTACACACTCGTATGTTCCTCCAAGTCAATGGTAAAACTTTGTAGCCTCCTTTCTCTTGATTTCTCTCTGTTTCTTTTTCCCCTCCAATGTATTCGTTCTCATGACGTACTCCAGTTTTCACTTTCTCGTGCCCAGTCTCCCCCCCCCCCCACCCTCCCCAATCCACCCCCTACTTTTCCAGCTGGAACTCAGACATCTGTTTGAGTTAAATTCCTTAATGACATCATCATTTCGCTATATCATCATCTTCAATCAGCAGATTCTTTACAAATCGTCGCTCTCGTCTTGACAGTCTTTTTTTTTCTCTAGGCAGTTCTCTAGCCCTATATGCTTTCATAATAGATTGATCTTCGATGTGTTGAGTCTGCTGTGGCGGTGGTCTGCTGCATTTTCAGGAGACTGCATGGTTGTCTCCAGACCATCGTTACGTTTAATATAGCCAAAATGCATCAACTTTCCGGAAAGGATGCTGTTTATGAGCCTCCGCGTTGAGATCATGTAGGATTATCATGTCTTTCTTTTGCCTAGTTTTTCGAAATGTAGCTTTTCAAATTTTGCTTTCTCACGTCAGTTGACAATAATGTTTCCACGTAACATTCTTCGCCTTAAACGATGTTTTGCATATTATTAAGCGTGTTGAACACTTTATCCATTTGCTATTACGAAAGCGCAAAAATACACATCGACTGACCTCAAAGTAGTCAAATTTATATTGTCTCAATTATTTTATTTTTATATTTTATTATAGCTTTTTTTCTACTTTCACTCAAGAACTGATTTATCAAATAATGGTTCCTTGCTGAATAAATTGAACATTACCTTGGTTGTAACTTCTGGTGGACACTGAGACTTTTCAATCCACCATTTCTTTTTCAATTCATCCAGGACGCCATCCTCCCGCAGTTGAAGAATGCTAAGTGTTAATTTATCTCTGAAAACACAGAGACGACAATTACATTACACAAAGACAAGCATAAGATGGTGGACAAAATACACATTACATTATGTTTTGTTTAGGACACTGTCTTTGCAAACAAATGCGCTGTAAAAAAAAAAAAAAAAGACTGACATAATAAATAACTGAAAATTAAGAAACACCAAACAAACAAAAAACTGTTCTCAGTTATCGGCATCACAGCACTGCTTGCAAAGACCCCTTAACACATCTATCTCTTGTCCAAAACCCGAATAGACACACGTATACAGCGATGGATCATTGGAGGTAGCAGCAACAACAACAAAAAAAAAACGGAGGAGCTGATTTACTCATCACACTTCAAGACAGGACCACAGCAGAAACTCTCAACAATCTTAGAGCAGAATAGCAAGTAATTATCGGTGCACGAAAGTGCTTGAAGAAAAAATATTAAAAACAGCAAAATGGTTTTTCTGGGTGACTGCATAAGCGTTCATGCGTCGTCACTGATCTCTATCTTTGGTGTTCAGGATCAATTCTACTGATGATATTTCTTCATGCCACTGTCTTAGGCCATCCACCATCATTTCTCTTGGTCTGCCTCTGCCTCTTCAATCTGTGATTTTCCAGTCGTCACGATATTCTTCAGTGCTTCTTTTCTCATTACATGACCAAAGAACTATTTTTGTCTCCTTCTCATTGTTGTATATAATGTTGTACTTTCCCATGCATTCAATGTTAGTCATTCTTGCAGTCCAAGGTATTATCAACACTTTTCTCAAGAACCATATCTCAGTTGCCTCTAAACTGTTCCTAATTTGTTTGCTCACATTTCAAGATTCACTACCATACAACAGAACAGGCAGCCCGATATAACTTTTTAATACTCTTCTTCAGATGTTTAATGAGAGTGAGTTATTACATAAAATACTTTTCATCTTCTGAAAAATTGCCTTTGCCCGGCCAATTCTGCTTCTAATTTCTGTCACACTTAGTCCATGTGATGTTATGAATGTTTCCAAATACTTGAATTTATTGACTTGCTTAAGCACTTTCCCTTCTAATTTAATTGTATACAATAGTTATAGTGTGGAAGAGATAATACACACCATTTACCAACTAGAGGATGTGTTTCAATACAAAAGACACTGAAGAATATTACCCCTTCTGTTCGTAGACAAGCAAATGTGAAATTTATGACAAACGACATTTAGTAGATAACAGATGATAAAATAAAGAAACTACCGAAATAAAAACTAAAAAAAAAAATAAAAAAAATATAAGAATTTAAAAAAAAGTGTCAGAATTTGGTGAACATCCCGCGAGAACTCATTCCATTCAGTTTGTTATGACCCTAGGAGAAGATCATCATCAAGTGCCCTGTCGACTGGCGTAGGCGTTCATGCGTTTCCACATATCTCACCATCTAGTCCTCTGGATCAGTGCCACCGATTATATCCTTTCGTGCCACTGTCGCAATCCACCTATTATAATCTCTCTTGGTCTGCCTCTTCCTCTTCTACCATTGATCTTCACCGTCGTCACAATATTCTCCAAAGTCTTTCCTCTCAAAACGTGACAAGAAAAACAAAACAATGATTGTCTTTTCCTTACAGCTTGTTATATATTGATATTTTATTCATTAGCGATTTTCAAGCAATCATCGTTACTCTGGCAGTGCAAGGGATTCATAATATTCATCGCCTCCAAGTGTTTTTCCTCATTTGTGCATTCACATTCCACGATTCACTACCATACAGCAGTGTTCTACAGAACATTGAGTACTCTTTTTTTTTTGGACATTCACACTAAGGGATCTGTTACAAAGAGGGTCTTCATTCTGTGAAATGCAGCCTTAGCCTGACCTATTCTGCTCTAAATTACTAAAACACATCTTCCGTCTAATGTTATGACTATACCCAGAGATACAGCATGCAGGGCTATGCGCTACCTTCTCGACTTTCCGACCACGGAAGACAGAATACAAATTTCACGAGCTCGTGCCTACCTCACAGTCAAGGCGGACACACAACATCCATTACATTGTCAAATCAAGATGATAAAAGGCAGCAGGTTAAAAATAGGCAAATCGTGGATGGGTCAAGCCGAGGACATTATTTTACAGGTGTGTTCACTTGAGGACATAGAACCCGGCTAGGAGTGGGTGCAAGTGCCTTCAGAGTGCTGTACATCTTTTTCTGTTTGCATCCAACTAGACAGAAAGTGCAGACAACAGAGTCCCGCCGCTGTGGAAGCAGAAGTTCAAGCCTTGATTTTTGAAAACGCTCTAGAGGGTGATGCTATCATTTACACAGATGGTTCTGTAATCAGCCACGTTAGAAGCTCGTCGGCTTTAACGGCTCAGTTTGGAGGGAGAGTTGTGAAGGAAGATTCTGGAGGTTTTGCCGTAACTACAAGTAGTCTTACTATGGAGGTCATGGCTGTAACTAAAGCAGTAACATGGCTAGAGACACAGACTTTCACTGGAGCATGCTTTCTCAGTGACTCGATGAGTATGCTCAGGAAGATAGAGAAGGGCTGGGTCCGAAGGCAGTGGGTGGTGGCTCTACAGAATTCAAGGCTGACAAGGATTAGTTTCATTTTCGTGCCTGGACATGTGGGGGTACAAGGAAACGAACAAGCCATGGACCAGGCTGATATACTGAATGTGCTAAGAGATTTAAGACGTTTGCATGAACCAACTGAGAACTGTAGATCTGCAGCCATGGTCAGACTGCAAGAAAAGATGTTAAACGGGGTGTCGCCAAACAAAAACATTACTCGGGTAGCCAAAGAAGAATAAAAAAACAACACAGAACTGGTGTCGTTAGCTGCTCCACGCTGCGGGATTTACTGAGGAGGGGATCCGAGCACTTATGGACTGAGTGGTTCGACGTGCAATGAGGATAATCTGTCGACCAACTAACTAACTAACCAGATATTGGAATGTATCGACTTGAGAAGATGAGTCAACAATAAAAAGTATATGCTATCTTGGCTTGTCAAACATGAGAAATGTACAGTAGGTCTAATACTGAAAATCATCATCATCATCAGCGTCATCATCATCATCATCAAGTGCCTTGCCGACTGGCGCGGACGATCATGCCTCTACGCAATCCGCAACTGCGTGTATCAGTTCGTGTGCTGATACCCTTCCATGCATGACAACAGACTGTCAAAATCTTCTCACACTGTCTTCCTTTGTCTCTCTTGTCACAGATCTTTCCAGTGGTCATAACATTTTCCATTTGTCTTCTGCTCACACACACACACGCACACGCACACACACACGCACACGCACACACACACACACACACACACACACACACACACACAAATATATATCTCTTTCTAATGTTTATGATAAGTTGTCTTCGAGCACTCGCTTCTTTCAAAACATCTGGGTTGCTCTTCAAAACTGTCCATGGAATTCTAAGCATTCTTCTGTAAAACCACATCTCCGATGTCTCAGGATATTGTTCGACTTACTTATTTATTGTCCATGATTCACAGCCGCATATTAACACTAGCTATGTATAGCATGCAATAGTTTTTTTTTTTTTTTTTTCCTAACCTCTAATGAGATTCACTGCAAACAATTTTCTTCCTTTTTTGACAGGCAGTTTTTTGCGTTTCTTTTTATATTCTTTATCTCTATGACACATCCGGCATCGGATGTTATCCAAGTGCCTAGATACTTAAATCTCTATAAATGTCATAAAATAACGCCTTCGACTTTTTAATACAATTTTAGGCAATATTCGTTTCTTGAATATCCCCAATACTTCCGTCTTCCCATTATTCAAATTAGGCCCATTTTATATCAGCACCGTATGTAGCAATGGCTGAAGTTTTGTTCTGACCTGTGGCTATCAAGACGGTGTCACTGGCATCACGTAGGTTGTTTACGTTATGAATAACAACCACAATTCCTGGCATATCATGATCGATCTCATTATATTAATTATTCTTTCCTCTTGGGCCGAGGGCGGAGCATAGGGCAAAAGTCTTAGCTCTCCATGTGTGGCGGTTCGTTGCCACCTGCTTCAGGTCTTGGATGTTTGTTAGGCCTATGACTGAGCCTTTCCTGATGATGGTTATAAGTAGAGTCTCTTTTGGTCTTCCTTGTTTTCTTTTCCCTTCCGGTGTTCATATACTGGATCTGAAATCGGTCAAGTGGAAATTTAGTTTTCTTCTAAGACATTTGTTCTCACAACTGTCTTATTTTGTATCTAGAGCTAGGGTTGCTTTCTAACTCTCGCATCCATAAGTTATCACTTGGATCGCACAAGAGTCTCAGTTATATATTCGCTATATAATGAAACCAAATCATGTGATAGCACGCATGCTTATCGTACTCTTCTCTTTTTGTTCCGAAATAGTTATTACTTCTTATAGTTGCTGTAATACTGAAAAAAGAAAAGGAATTGTAAAGTTCAGGGACGGAGTGGATGGGGGGGGGGGGGGGGGGGGTGAAGAGGAGGCGGTATAAAACATTTATGTAATTATTTGACACACATATGTAAGGACATTGTAGACTGGGACGTAGCTTAGCTAATATGAAGGCGAAGACGGCTGGTAGAGAACTGTGAGGTGCTGACAGAAATGTTTCAATGACAGATCACTTTACTTCATTATGAGTTTATTGGCTGTAGAGACACTCGCACGAGTGCACGTTCTGACAACGCTTTGATAATCAACTTTTTCTGCTGCTGCAGTTTCAACCCGTTTCAGGTCTGTCATCTTAAATAATGTTCATTCCTGCAAACAGTTTAGTTTCTCTCGCTTTAGGTCTGGTAATATTATTAAGATATAGTTCACTTATGATGAATCATAGTTCTTGGACCTCCGTAGTCACTTCTGCATTTATAGAGAGCAATCCAGGGCTTAGTGTGGATGTTACACAAAAAACACCACTAGGTAAGATCTGCACATACCTGATATCAGATCCCATAGGTGTTGCTATACCGTAGCCTTTGGCATCCAAGTTATTTCCAGCTTTTACTGTGTCACATGGTAACCTAAATAAATCAGGCAGACGTTACAAATAAGAACAGCCAGACGCCTCCAAACATCCCACTGATGTAAGATAAAGAAAACTAACAGTTATTTGTCTATCCTTTAAAGGCTTTGCAGAGCCCACTGCAGCGTCGGCATTTGTTACTTACGAACTGCAAACGAGATTCAATTCCAGCTGAGGGCGATTCGACAGCCGACCGCCTTGCGTTTGTTTTGACAGTGATGTCGGGAGCCGACCGTTTAGTAAGCAGTGACTACTAAACGTAAAACTGCCTCGTGGAATCACAAAAGCTACCCACTACCCTCTCCCCCATATATATATATATACTATTCATAACATAATAACAGCGTACTGAAAATGGAATTAATTCAGCATTGCTGGATGAGAAAAATTATCACAGAGTAAAAGCAATTTAGCCGTGTGCAAGACACAGCTCCACGGTAAGCAATTGGTGTGAAGCCGGCAAGAGGAACATAAGGTTACATTACGACGGGCTGGAATAATCTTTGCTGAGCGAACGAATAGGTATCAATGGAGAGTCTACTGCAGACTCATTACAGCCAGAAATCGAAACACTGTGTTACCTCGAGTGGTAAACGCTGCCAGTCACGGACAATTAAAAAGTAAAAGTAAAGATCCCTTTTCACGCCTTTCGGTGCATCGGGCATATGGGCAGAGCGTCCCATATTTTTACAGACCATCAGCACTCTGTGGGTAATGTGGTCAGCATCACGCCGGCTGTCTTTACTTTCCCAGGACAGTCCATCCTGGTACCCATTTTAGGCTGGGTCGACCTGCGACGTCCCATACCACGATAAAAATCCACGCAGCACGGACAATTAGGCCTACGAAAAAAAAAAACTGCGAACAAATTTTGACTCGATCCGCTAACAAATCTTCAGAGCATGAACGCACAAATGGGGCTTTGGCGCCACGGTTTTCAATTCGTGAACAGTATGTGCTCATGTTTGTACTCAGGAAGAACCTGCAGATCTGTATGCAGCGTGAACAAATAAAAGTTATGGAGGAGCAGCACTCAATAGAGGAGGAGGACAAGGTAGAATATGTTTCAAGTGTTTAGATCAAAGAAATTTGTATCAAGCAAAGTAAAGCGCATGTTTCCATTGAGAAGCATCACCCTAACAAACTGTGACCAGCAGAGAAATTAACATTTAAAATGGCAATATAAAGTCACATTTTAAGAAAATTATCCAAAAAAGACAAATGTTTCTGGATCGTTCCTGATCTTGCGAAAACTCCAGCCACCAAGCCAACAAACCAACCAGTTCCAAGGATACAAACAAGAGGAAACAAATGCCAGAAACACTTAAAACAGTTGGCCGATGTTATTGTGGAATGGGACTCTCCATGGAAGGAGTAGTCTCTACTACTAATCTACATGTGCCAGCAGCTATCAATCCTCAAGGTAAAGTTATACTGCATATTTTAAAGTACATATTTTTGCCATACATAAATCCTTAATTAAAGGCCTTAAACATATTTCTTGAGACGGTAGAACAGAATAATCTAATCGGCATTAATTTCGTTGGGAAAAAATGTTTCGGTTCGCAACATTTCGGCTGGCGAACGAATTCGAAAAACGAATTAAATTCGTGACCCAAAGTACCACTGTCATTTTCCACTGTCTCTCTCTATACGACCACACTATCTAGCCAACGCCTGTGTTTACTTTACATAAACTTAGTCGTTTAAAACGAGGATAAGTAGATTACAACTACACTAATATTCTTTAATGCTATTCAATAATTTATGTATTTTAAAAACAAAAAACAAAAAGCCAATTTTTGCCGGGTGCTTTTCAAATTGTGTCGGGCGTGCAGAGACTGGCCAGTAGGTGCTGTGGAATCAGGACATCCAACAACTGATTCATGACAATTCCCACCCTGGTGAAGTGATTATCTACACCGATGGCCCTGTGTTGAGAGGCAGAAGAAATGCCTGACGGTTCATAGCAAAAGCAAATGGACGACGGTTAGCGCAACAAAGCTTGGCATACGATATCACAACGTCTAGTTTGAAAATGGAAGTAGAGGCGGTCACTTCAGTCTTCAGTTGGCTTGAGAATCCGCTGCACACACATGTTGCGATTGTAATTGACTCGAAAAGCATGCTGACAAAGGTGGAGACAGGTATGCTTCGTGCAATAGCACTCATCGCTTCAGAAGTCCAGGCTACTTAGCGTCCGGTGGATATTTTTTCCAAAGCATGCAGGTGAGTTAGAAAAAAAAACAGGCGGACAGACTCTTTCTGGCTCTGCACTACCTAGTGGCAAACTGATGCATGACAATCTAGATCTTGTCAAGGCTCTTTGGGAGGGAGTGGACAGTGCGGAGGCATATTTAGATTATCATGGTCTGAAAAGAATGGAGCAATGGAGAGTTATCAGAGAATCTGGCCGATACCATAGACTAAGACGAAATGCAAGAAGCACATACAATCAGACTGTTAATGATACAATCGAAGTTGGGACTCTTTGCTGGTTGCTGAAGATGTGGACGGAGTGCTTGTGGCAATTTCCCAAATGCTTTGATGTTAGTTAATAATGCTCAGTTCAGCACAACTCAACTCTCTGCACGCCTTACTAGAAGCCCGGAGTATTACAGGCTTTTCTTCGTACAGCTTCACAGATAGTTTTTAAGAATTTATAAAGTTCTAATGGAAACAGTCCTGCATGAGGTTTTATGTAGTCTTCGTAGGCTCATTTGCCTTTTTTTTTCTAGGGATCCATATTAGGCTCACTTTCAATACTGGACTAGTTCTCTTTTTGTGTGGAAAGAATTCAGATTGTGTGTGTGTCCGGTTCTCCCCCTCCTCACCCCACTACCAGAAATGATAATCTTTAGCTGGGTAATATGGCAGCTCTGTTTTGAAAATAACTGGACTATTGGAAGTCAGCTCAGTTCAAAAGAGGATGCATAGACGGTACAGTCATCTGCGAATAAATCGCAGGACGACATCATCAGACATAAGGGAAGATCATTCATGTAAGTACTGAATAACAACTGGCCGAGGTTTGAACCTTGAGGCACCGCAGTATTTCAGCGATAGGGATTTATTGTATGAAATTTTTTATCTTTTATATAACAAAAACGATTTTTAGGAAACTCGATAGCCTAGGGTTAAATTTAATTGTTTCTCATTTTCTTTTAACAATATTATGGTCTATCATGCCAAAAGCTTTCTTAAAGTCGATAAATACTTCTCCAAATATATTCTCATCGTTAATATTTTGATGCCATTTTCTATCATGTTTGTTCCTGTAAGGTTTTTTTCCTTCATATTTCACACTGATATGACTGAGCTACAGTACAACAGTAGGCGGTACTATTATATCTGTTGTCAAAGAATTTTGAACATCATAACGAGACTTGACATCCGGCATGATGTCAACGACTACAGACTGAAAAGTGCATTGGTTGAGTGAGAGATCATGCTGCATTGGCTGCGATTCCTATGCCTCTCTATAATAAGACTGTCTAGAAAGACTAAAAACAGGGTCAATAAACTTTTTAGACCCTAATTCCTTTCCCGGTTCTCTGATTAATCAACGGATTCTTAAAGCTATAGGAAGCTGCTGTGGTGTTTTCATTGGTCGTCTTAACAACAGAATCATTGGAGAGTCTCGGTTTTATATTGCTCCTGTTCATGTAGGCTGTTGGAGATTTACTGGTGACAATAATTAGTTAAGCTAGTTATGTAAACAATGATGAATGACTATTTTACGCTTTCCAAGAGACTCCCTTTCCTTTTTACTGATTAAACACCCGAACATGCAGTATAGCTTAAAATACTGTCTATTTAAACCATATCCAATTTCTGGTAGAGAATGTCTTCTATTTAAAAAAAAAGGCATGTCGTGAGTGGAAGTTTTTGCTCAGACCATCGTTGCATTTAGTGTCGAAGCACATGAATACTAAAACAATTCTCAAGAATAACATATTTATTAATGTTAACGAGAAAGAGAAATATGATTGGTTATAACATAATTTGTGTGTGTGTGTGTGTGTGTGTGTGTGTGTGTGTGTTTTCTAATATATATATATATATATATATATATATATATATATATATATATATATATATATATATATTCTTCTTTTTTCTTCCTTTTCTTGTTTAGTATTCCGAGCCTTTAAGGTTCATTGCTGCGGATATTACCCGTCTTCATTCACCGAAATCGAGGCCTAGATATCTGTTTCGTGGCGAGATGAAGTTTTACGAAGGTGGAGGTGTTGGCCCTATGCGTCAACCCCCAGCCTGGAGGACCAGGGTGACTCTCTTGTCTGTTCTCTGCCCTTCGACATTTCCGGCTTGGAAAGCCCTGCTGGTAACTACGCCGACGTAGCTCTCAGGGTCATTAAGAAACACAAGCTCTACTACCGCGGCACGGTGGCGACACCTTCGTGTGTGTGTGTGTGTGTGTGAGCGCGCGCACATGTGTGTATACCATACTCTGTCTCTTGCTACCTCTGTCGCTTTACATTGAATACCCCCAAACTGCATCTTAGGCTGCCACCGCCACGCTGGAACATCCAAGTTCCCCCAGAGAGTGGAAGTTCCCACTCAGGGAAACACTGACCTGCCAGTGGTTTGCCGACCCGAAAGTCTTACGTTGGAATACCGGTATAACGGATGTTATATCTGATTTTGGGTGCAACCTTAAGTAGGTATTACAATGTGAAGGGAGGTAAAGGCGATCGAGGTGATGTTAGCAGCACTACATTTCGATTAAAATATGGTTTTAACACCATATGTCTTAATCGTCATTGTCAGGACAGAGTTCTTGACATATTTACTTCCTTGCTATTAACCTTTCACTAGTCTTCACCTAGCAGTTTCTGAAGATATAAACAATACAACTTCTGATAAAGAGAGATCAGTTGTACATAAAATGAACGGTTTAAGAAAGCAGGGCTTTTATGTCTGCCCTAGCTTGAAGAAAACACTGTATAAACACTAGACAGACAATGGCTACCTACCTTGAACTGTAGTATTCATTTAACGTTGATTCAATGAGAAAGACATATTGTCCATTGCTTTCGCGAACACGCTTGATCCCTTCGTCATTATCTTTAACAAATACATCTGACTGTGAAGTCATGAAGGACCACATGCGTTGATACAAGGGCACAGTTGTTTGCTACCTCGCAATCCAAGATATGAATGATCAAAGTTAAGTTTTGTTATAGAACATCATGACTTAGATTTCAATTATAAAAAAAAAAATTAAAAAAAAAAAAAAAATACTGTGTTCAATTACCAGTTCTAATCTGTTTACCATTTGTAAGGAAAAACCATATACGCCAGTATATTGCATGTAAAACAGTACCGAAATTTGCATGGTTGTGTAGACTTGTAAATATTTGATCTATCATGTAGGAGAAATTAACTATGATGGATGAAAAAGCTAAATAAATTGACTGTCTCACGTAAACAGACTAGCGGTTTGTGTGTGTGTGTGTGTGTGTGTGTGTGTGTGTGATTACCCATCACTGACTCAGTATATATTTATATATACCGATACACACACAGCCAGTGTCGACTGATCTAATATAAGTTGTCTAACCTCAAATCTCCAATGGCTCAACAGCGTACAAAAAGGTCCTTCTCTGTCCTCTCAATGTAGGTAGATAATTTCTTACTGATAAACTGGATTCAAATCCCTATTATCATTAGCAGTTGACTGAATTAAACATGTGCACGATTTGTGTGTGCCTACATACAGATATGTTCTGCATTGAATTTAATTCTTAAGGCACACTGGATTTAGTTTTCAAATGCTGTGCTGCAGAGGCCTAAAGAGCAAAGTGGGAAATTTTTGGGAATGATATGGTAGGCAATAAAACACTGGGGAACTTCTGGAAACTGCAAAGGCATGTAACCGGGACTCTCGATTAAGGCTGGTTGAGGAAGCGTGGTATATCACTGTTCTGCTCCTTCCTCCTCTTCTTCACTCAGTTCATCGTCTATTTCTATGCCTGAGTCTTCTTCTTCTCATGGCTCTACTGGCTGTTGTCTTATCACTTCAAGTTGGACATTTCGCAGTTGAATCACTTCTTCTTCTTCTCCTCTCTCGTCTCTCATCGCCACTGTCATATCAAACAAACCTCCGTGCCGTCTGACGTACATCTTTATGTAGACCATCAATGCGTTTTCAAAATAGCAAAATGCCTTTATTTAATCTATAACAATAAAAATGGCAACTTCCCAAACAGTAGTGACAAAGGCAATCAACGTCTACTAACGTTAACACTGTACGCCTAGCGAAAAGCTACGAAGATACCGTTGCTGAATAAAGATTCTATCAACCTAAGTTTAAGCTTGCCCAAGCCACTCCAAGTCTCCCTCTAGTCCATTTGAGTTCCTCTGTGCCTCTCCGAACTCCGTCTTCCCTCTGTCTGCCTCTGTGTGTCCTCTCCCTCTCTGTCTCTCCGAGCTCCGTCCTCCCTTTGTCTGCCTCTGTGTGTCCTCTCCTTCTCTGTGCCTCTCCGAACTCCGTCCTCACTCTGTCTGCCTCTGTGTGTCCTCTCCCTCTCTGTGTCTCTCCGAGCTCCGTCCTCCCTCTGTCTGCCTCTGTGTGTCCTCTCCCTCTCTGTGCCTCTCCGAACTCCGTCCTCCCTCTGTCTGCCTCTGTGTGTCCTCTCCCTCTCTGTGCCTCTCCGAACTCCGTCCTCCCTCTGTCTGCCTCTGTGTGTCCTCTCCTTCTCTGTGTTTCTCCGAACTCCGTCTTCCCTCTGTCTGCCTCTGTGTGTCCTCTCCCTCTCTGTGCCTCTCCGAACTCCGTCCTCCCTCTGTCTGCCTCTGTGTGTCTTCTCCCTCTGTGTGTCTCTCCGAACTTCGTCCTCCCTCTGTCTGCCTCTGTGTGTCCTCTCCCTCTCTGTGCCTCTCCGAACTCCGTCCTCCCTCTGTATGCCTCTGTGTGTCCTCTCCCTCTCTGTGCCTCTCCGAACTCCGTCCTCCCTCTGTCTGCCTCTGTGTGTCCTCTCCCTCTCTGTGTCTCTCCGAACGCCGTCTTCCCTCTGTCTGCCTCTGTGTGTCCTCTCCCTCTCTGTGTCTCTCCGAACTCCGTCTTCCCTCTGTCCCTCTGTGTGTCCTCTCCCTCCTCTGTGTGTCCTCTCCCTCTCTGTGTCTCTCCGAACTCCGTCCTCCCTCTGTCTGCCTCTGTGTGTCCTCTCCCTCTCTGTGTCTCTCCGAACTCCGTCCTCCCTCTGTCTGCCTCTGTGTGTCCTCTCCCTCTCTGTGTCTCTCCGAACTCCGTCCTCCCTCTGTCTGCCTCTGTGTGTCCTCTCCCTCTCTGTGTCTCTCCGAACTCCGTCTTCCCTCTGTCTGCCTCTGTGTGTCCTCTCCCTCTCTGTGTCTCTCCGAACTCCGTCTTCCCTCTGTCTGCCTCTGTGTGTCCTCTCCCTCTCTGTGTCTCTCCGAACTCCGTCTTCCCTCTGTCTGCCTCTGTGTGTCCTCTCCCTCTCTGTGTCTCTCCGAACTCCGTCCTTCCTCTGTCTGCCTCTGTGTGTCGTCTCCCTCTCTGTGCCTCTCTGAACTCTACCTAGCCAGGGGCTCCCTTTTTATAGGCCCAACTTTTGAATGTTTTAGAAAATGCGAGTGATGTCGAAAAAACCAGCGATTGCGCATCAAAAATACAAAAACCGAATAAAACATTGGGCATTTTTGGTCAACAACTAATTTACCAGAACGATAAGGTTAGGTCACAAGATGAAATATAAATTTAGTAACTTTGAGAAAAGCAGGACAAGGCCAAATGCCCGAGTTTGACGTCGGTAGGTGATTTTGGCGGGAAATGGAGACATCTATGACGTCAAAGGCTTGGTTTTAGGCGGGAAAAATAAAGTTTTGGAAGGTTGTTCAATTCGCACAGCGTTTTCTGTTACAGGCAGATGGAGAGAAAAGATCGGCATATGACCATGGGAACAATTTGTAAAGGCTATAATGTGCGTATAACAACAGACATGAAGAGATGGGAGGTTTTTTCCCATAGATTTATAGCTCAGACTGATCATAACGATGTAGACATCAGGGATACAGTTAGAGAGGATTAAGCTGGCACCAGAAACAATATGCATTATGAAGATATGATACGAGTAGACGATTTCAAACAGATTTTGGAAAAGGCAGTAGACGCTGCACTAGGGCCTGATGGGGTCAGATATGACTGTTCTTACCAGAGCCTTAAGATAGCATCAGTACCGCAGGGCTAGTTGCACAGCTATCTAATCCCACTGCCAAAACCTTTCAGTGATCATTTAAGTGGCTTTAAAATCATCATCTTACATAACACATTTTGGAAGGTCTTGGAGAAGACAGCTGTGAAGCTGAAAGAATGTTTGGAAAGGGGGAAGCTTTTCCCAAGAGGTCTGGGAAGCTACAGACCAGGAAAGGAAACATAGGAAATTGCAACCGCTTTTGCTTTTGACGTCTATAAAGGGTTCCACAGCAGACAGGAAACTATGGCGGCAGCACTGGATCTGGAGGATAACAGACGGTTCAGCGTCAAGAGGCAGAATAAGTGCTTAGGGTTTCTTAGTAAGAGCCAATGGTCAAACGTTTGATGCAGGAGAACCTAGCACATGATACCACAACATCCAGCTTAAAAATGGAGGTGGATTTGGTCACTGCAGCTTTCCGATGGTTAGAAAACCACGACACACACACACGTAGTGATTGTAACTGACTAAGAAAGCATGCTGAGTAAGGTCATGACAGCCATGGTTGGCGCAGCGGCATGCTTCGCTGCGAAGAACACGGGTGGCGAGTATTGTCTGGATCTTTTCTCCTGGACATACAAGTGTTGGGAAATGAACAGGCGGACAGACTGGCTGACTCTGCACAACTTGGTGGAATATTGATGCATGATAAGGCAGACGTGGTTAGGGCCGCGGGGGAGTGTTTACAGTTCATTGGAGCAAATGGATCACATAGTCTGGTGAGATTAATACAGCGGGGAGTGACAAGGGGTTCTAGCCGATGCTCGGCGCTCAAAGGAAAGGCAAGACAGACGTTCAATCAGAATGCTACTGGCACTATTAGTATTGGAACTCTGAGCTAGCGGCTGAAGATGGGGACGGAGGAATGCCCTGGATGCTGTTATGTCGATTCTTGAATTAGCTGAATTCAACTCAACTGGATATGCTTCTTTTTCTTGTTGTTGTTGTTGTTGTTGTTGTTGTTGTTGTTGTTGTTGTTCTTCTTCTTCTTCTTCTTCTTCTTCTTCTTCTTCTTCTTCTTCTTCTTCTTCTTCTTCTTCTTCTTCTTCTTCTTCTTCTTCTTCTTTTTCTTGTTGTTGTTGTTGTTGTTGTTGTTGTTGTTGTTGTTGTTGTTGTTGTTGTTGTTGTTGTTCTTCTTCTTCTTCTTCTTCTTCTTCTTCTTCTTCTTCTTCTTCTTCTTCTTCTTCTTCTTCTTCTTCTTCTTCTTCTTCTTCTTCTTCTTCTTCTTCTTCTTCTTCTTCTTCTTCTTCTTCTTCTTCTTCTTCTTCTTCTTCTCCTCCTCCTCCTAATCCTCATCCTCCTTCTTCCTCTTCAGTTCCATTGCTTATGCCGTCAAGCGTCGTAGACAGAAGTTAGATCTAGTTTCCTGATATTTGCCATTGTGTAACTTGTGTTTATGTCATAATGCGTTTCGTTAGTGTCTCTTTTACTCCATTCACCTATACATTTCTTGGTCGGCCTCTTGGATTGTAGCCTGCTGTCCTCGTGTAGTACGCTTTATTCGCTGACCGACTCTGTTCCATACTAACTAAACCATTCGATTCTATGATATTGTATGGAATCATTTACCGGTACTGTGCCCACTATCATTCTTAGTTCTTCGTTGGTGACTTCTCTTGTCTATCCCTCCCCCCCCCCTTTTTTGGGGGGGGGGGGGGTGGGGGGGGGGGGGGGGGGAGGGAAGCAGCATTTTTTATACGTCTCTACTTACATGGGATTTTGCGTTTTAGTGTTTGTAGGACTGTCCATGTCTGACACTGATAGCACAAAGTTGGTACGAATAGGGAATTTACCAGTTGTTCTTTTGTGTGCCTGTTGATATGTTGATGCCTCAAAAGTAGGGCTGTTTTGTAATTTATATTGTTGGCATTTGCATTATCAATAAATATTAAAAAAAATAGAAGATAACATTGAAAGCTTACATTGAAAAACATGTAAGTACTTCCTCCTCTGTATGGACCGTATTTTATTTCCGTTTGCTTCACCAGGTCTTCTGCTGAACGAATACTGCCACTCATTCGCATTGTGGTGAGGAAAGCTGCTAAATTTGCTGTATACGACGAGATAATGATGAGTGTGAAGAACCACCAGACACTTGTCACAATGCGTCCAGAGACTGACCTATCGATAGACACTCATTATTTACATTAAAACACAAACTTAAACAGACTACATACGAAATCGAATACTGTCATTAAGATTCTAATACATTACTCTCTTCACATTATGTTTGCTGTATCTGTCAAAAATTAGAGGGCTGAATTATAGAATACTGTACTTTACTTACCCATACACGAATGTTAGTTTTTCACTTAATGCTGACCATATTACCCACCTAGTGCGATTTGTCTGTTAAAATATGGGTGCTCTTCCGATATACCCGATGCGCCTAAAGGCGTGAAAAGGGATCTTTACTTTTTTTTTTCTTTCAGTTTTTCACAGTGTTGAGTGCCCTGGTGATAACTGCTTTATTTGTGAGTAATGTAGATTGTTTTTTCGTTAGAGGACCGAGGAGGGAAGGGTTGAGAATAGAACATATTGGCTGACATGGTGTAGAGAACAAAGTTTACCCTGTTAGCGGCAGCGTGTCAGAGTGAGATTTGCCCATGTTGAATATTAAATGTTGAATGAAGAATCAACATGACAGCACTCAGGCCATTACCAAAAGCGGTGCGCCCCATCTTTAGCATGCGTACCGTATGATGTAACTTGATCCAACTAACGCATGGAGAGATGCTTTGTACTGAAAGAGCAGTGCTTGATATTGATAAAAGCCATATGACTAGATGCTAGCTGTTTACAGACAAGGATTACATATTTATTACTTAAAATATTATTTTCTAATCGCTGTGCTGAGTATTTTCATGTTACGAGGGTAAGTCAATAAGTAACTCACAAATGGTTGTTTAAAAAAAAAAAACTTAAGAGGATAACAACTTAAAACCCGTTTACTTTTACGCACATACTGTCCCTTAAAAAAAAGTCCATTAAAACTCATGCACTTGTCCAATCGTTTTATCAGTCCTTCCAAATCTGCGTGCTCTGTTTTCTACACCATGTTCACTTCACATTCAACTTTTGCGTCATTCGTAAAATATCTCCCGCCAAGGTGGGTTTTCAGTGGACCCAAAACAATGTGAGCACCCGATTGCCACATTCAACCGTTACTAGCCTGTCACCTCTAATCATGTCCTCCACCCGATGCATGGATTACTGTCTCAACAGGACAACCAGATACGACTTCATCAACAATCATACAGCGTCCTTGAGAAAAATTCGTTACCAAGCTATCCACCGCTTCACGGGATAAACATTTGTCAGCACAAACATGACGCATTTCCTCATGAATGTCCTCTGTAGACAGCCCTTTTGCCCCCCCCCCCTTCCCCCTTAAAAAACATATAACATCATGTTGTTCTTTGAGGGTACTCTCCGTAAGTACAGTCGTCATTTCGTTTCTGTGCTGTGCAGGCAGATGCACCGCCTAGCGACACCTAACAAACGGAGACAAAGTTCGATGTTGCATTCACCTAATGACACCTTTGGAATCCACAAACTACATTTTCTGGCCATATCATAACCATCTGTGACTTATTGACTTCCCCTCGTATATAAAATCATTACATATACTTATATATATATATATATATATATATATATATATATATATATATATATATATACACACACACACACACGAATAAATTATTCACTGATTGTGTTATTCTTACTTTGGTAGCACATCACACCCCTGTTGCATGAAGGCACCTAAAGAAAACCAAAGGCTGTTGCCAATAGTGAAGTCGTTTTCCAGCTTTGAGTCAGCGTCCAGTTGCCATTCTTCAGAACTGAATCGGCTGACCAGGAAAAGTACCACACTCACGCCAATAAAAGCAAATACCTGATTGACAAACAATCGTATGCAGATTAGCATGTCAGCAGATATCTGCAGAAGTTCATAAAACTCACCCATCACACAAATAGCTCAATACCAAGCAAAATCGTATATTTGTAACATTTTGTGAATGTAATCTTTCTGATGATATTATCAGAATGACTGTAGGAACAACAACAACATGCAGCAAATTCAGAATATTATATGGTTTGGTTATTTAGTAAGAATACAGCCATAACAACAACCAACACACGTGCTTAACATGAAAAGATCTGAAGTGAAAGAAGAGGTTGCCCTAGGAAAAATGGACTGATGACATTAAAGAGCTTCTACATAGACACGGAATGACAATAGCCATTGCTGCTCACCAAACATTGGATCACAAACTGTTTCTCCCCACAACGTTTAACGACAGAAGTGAACATTGATTGTGATGGTGAATATATATATATGTGCCCAATCCACTTTGTCAATTTATCTTTACCCTAATTTGAACGTTGTTCTGAACTTGATCATTTGCCGAGATCAAAACTTTAAATGTTTTTGACATGGTAGGAAGTAATTGCTAGTCTACAAACAAGGATCTTTTATTAGAGACAAAAGCAACTCTACCAGTCCAGGATGCTACAAGTTTGGACACTACTGATCAAGAAGTCTTCTTCATTGATCCCAAGGTGAATATAGAAATCCTCCAGTCTGTTGTAATCATTTTGTCTTATTCTAGGTATAGTTACAGTGTTGTACTTTATTTTAAACATTATTAGACACCTTTCTTTCACAATGTTCTACAGAGCTGGCGTATTTCCAAAGTGGTAGTCGGAAAGTGCAGTGTTTGCCGAAGAAAGACTGTTTCTGTCAGTAGCATGTCCCGTTGTTCTTCCTATCCCAGAAGGTTGCTTATCTGGCTGCATGAGTCCCTGATGGTGATGAGAGTCATAAACATCTCGAAGAAAACAAGAGACAAAAAGATTTCATCTGTATGGTAAAATGAAAGGTCTGTTTTAGGAATTCTATTATCACATTATCAATAACAGTTGGGCGCCCTGTGTAACATACAAGGATACAGTTGCTTCTTTTGTATTTAAAAGACATTCTCTTTTTCTAGCTAAGGAAATTTAGCGTTAGTTATCATGTCTTTCCACAGACACAGGCCCTCCCTCTCCCCCTCTCCGTACTGGCAGTAGTAATACATGCGGTCTTCCATGTCACAATTTGTAACTATACAACTTTTATCTTCAAACCCGCGTTATCCCGCCTTTATTCCCCTGGCAATCTGGTTGTCAGGAAAAGTTCCAGCTTTTCGCTTCTCAATGTTTTGCTAAATGTATTTTGATAATATTTAATGCAGAGTAAATTATTATCATCATATGACCTGCCGATAGGCTTGAGCGGTCATGTTTCACCATATCAGATGATAACAAGACTTGCCATCTTCTGTTTCTCTATATGGCACCATGCGATTGAGTTTTCGTTCTTGTACTGTGATTTCGCTTATTTTATCGGACTTCCTTCAGTTAGACCATACTATTAACCAATCCAGAAGCAGTAGATTATTGTATAAAGCAGCTAGACATGTGTGTGAAGCCAGTGTAGTGATTATGCGATGTGTTTTAATGTTTGTTCGATATTTTTGCGGTTGATCTACATCACAGCGACCTTAGTGACATCATGCGAAAATATCTATAAAAGATTTTTGCTCTCGCATGGATTAGGTGCGAGTGAGCTGAGATTCTTCTCTCTTATTCTAATGTCGTGTAATAATGATGTTTATAGGAAAAGAAAGAGGCGCAGCAGATGCCAATCGCATGCCAAAAGGGATCAAAAAGTAAAATGGTCTGGGGACAGAATTTCACTATTGAAATGGGTGAGGGTATGTCAAAGCACATCCTCATTCTCTACGGGAACTGTCCCAGCGCCAGATAAAAATGACCTAGTGGTGACGTGGCTGTTTGTAAAAAAAAAAACACTCTTAGGTGAAAACACATTGAAACTCGCAGGTTTTCGTACATAACACGACCTAGGAGATTGAAATGTCTAGATAGCAAGATGTCAACCCCTAATTACAAGCTGTTATAAACAATAAGAAAAACTCCACAGCGAAGCACGCAAAGAAAGGGTCCACCGATCATCAATAGAAAGATCCCACGTCGACGACTGTTTTGGCCCATTACTTCCTAGACGATTTCGGAAGGTGGGTCGACCTGGTTCATGATTCCAGGCCTCGATCTTCCCCTGTTGTACTTTTTGGACTCTCGGACAGAAAAAACACGATATGGTGACTTTGCAACAGGTTTTGTGAGATTGGTATTATATTGTTGCAGCCGTAGCAAATTAAGCGCCTACCTTTACGACCAGAGTGACTAGCTTACGGTTGGTTTATCGGACAAACGTAGACGTTGGCATTTGGCAGAGAAACACTGACAGACACTTCCCGGGCACTTGGCTTTAAGGGATAAGAAGTTTCTTTCCACTAGGGACTCGGGCCAGTCTACCAAAGCCCATCCTCCATCAAGTTCCATAGCGTCCAGAGCTAGCTTGAAGCCCTTTCTGCTGCTTCGCCCAGTTGTTTTAGCGACCGTTTACGCTCACTTTCTCTCAAGCCCCGCTGCTTTAGAATATTGCATGTGGAAGTGAAGATAAGGCCTCTTGCGCCTACCTCGACGGGGAAGATTTTAACTGAGTACGCTTCGTCTTTCCTCAGACTTGCCACGAGCTCACCGTACATTTTGAGTGATTTCATAGGCTTTTAAAAAATCAATGAACACATGATACAGATGCTTTTATTATTGTTCTGACAATATGTACAGATAAAACATCTTTTCAATCGTCTTCTTTCAGCAGAAAAACACACATATTTCGCCGCTATGGTACCTACAGCTTGTAGCTTTAACTTATTTAGGTGTACCTGGAGTATGACTACTACGTTAAATGATGAGACTCAGGGTCCGATAATTCTCAAATGGTTGTAAATTCCACTTTTTGGGGGGGATGGTACGATGACATATTTGGTCCAAAGAGATGGCCACTCACCAGTCTTCAAAATTTAGTTAACACATTTCTGTGAGGATGCCAATAATGTCCTCTCCCCCGCCTTGAGGATCCCAGCTGGCATGCTGTTAATGCCCAGAGTTTCCCACTTTTGTTTTCTTTAGTTTTGATGGCCAGTTTTACTTCGTCCAGGAACACTGGGAGATTGTCGTCTTCCTGTGCTTGTTTTCTCATTGTATATGCTCTGTCAGTATTTAGAAAATCTATTTAGGATGACATTAATTTATGTGACTATAATACCCTTTGTGACTGGAAAGCTTTACTTCTTGATATTCTTTCCCTTTTTTTTTGTTTTTTGATATTCTGGTGATAGCTTTTTGTGTGTCTGAGTGTGTGTGTGTGTGTGTGTGTGTGTGTGTGTGTGTGTGTGTGTGAGTGTATGTGAGTGCATGTGTGTGTGTGTGTGTGTTGTTTTATTTCAGGTTGTTCTGTTTTTTTTTTTTTTTTTTTTTTTTTTTTTGCTTTTGTTTATTTTACTGTTGTTCAACTCGTTACATTCTTCTACTCTGCACATGTGTTTTCTCTTAAACGTTCTTTTGCCTCCTGCATGCATTTTCTAATCTGAATATTTATCTGTATGTAGTGTCTGCTTGTTGACGTTTATGCCTGTCTTTATTGATGTGCTTTCGCTGATTACACCCGTTGAGAATTCCTTATGTGTTTTCATTTTTGGTGTATCTCAACTGGCGCTTTCTTGTTCAAGATAGCTGTGATGAACTTGCCTGCAAGTGTTTCTACACTTCCATGATGGAAATCAGGGGAGCAAACTTTGGTGCAATACACCACCACCGGATCCTTCGGTTTGTCGATGTCATACTTCAATCGTATTGTCCTCGCATGATTTATATGTCTGAGGTAAATTCTAAAATGTAACAGCACCACATTGTGGTCACTTCCCATATCAGCTCATGGATAGCTCCTGGTCTTCTTGTGTTTATCCCAGATTTAAAGCATTTCTGGACTAGTCAATTTGGGTCCGTTGGCTAGTCATTTGCATGTGGGATGGAATTTTTCGTTTTTTTTTAAATACTAACTCTGGCCTTTGCCGGAGGCCCTAATTAAAGATTGAACGGGGTTTCCAGGACCTCTCCACGGGTGATCCTTATTTATCCGCATGGTGGCACCACATTGTTTCACCTGCTGTTTCATCGCTTGTGTGATTGTGGGGTACAATTTACCTACCTACCTACATTTGGTGCGTGCTATGTCGCAGTTCTGGATGGCCTCTGTTTGTGTTATGCGTTAGCTAAGAGAAGGTTGTTGAATTGGCAAAATTTCAGCACTTTATATCCTTTTTTATTTGTACTTTTACTACAGAAAGGTCCGTATGTGTCTGTCCAGTCTACTTGAGCACTTGATCCTACCTTATTATTCTAATATTCCACTGTTCTCAAAAACCACATCTTCTCTACCTAGTTTCGCTTTTTATCGGCTTGTGCGCTTATTGCTTATACCTCACATGCATATATGACAACACAGGTTAAAAGTATATTATAGTGGTTATGAAATATGAATGTACTTACTGTGCACAGCCATATTTCCTGTGATAAAGGTTCCATAAATGAAAACACTCGATGACCTGTGTCAGCTGTCTTTTTAATCATTAATGAGATGCCCAGGTTCATGAATGGCTTCGTGAAATCTAAGACTTTCTCACGGTCTGATGTAATAGTTAAAGGTGCTATAGCAATGTCAGCTTCCTGTAAAATAATGGCATAATTTCAAATGTTTTAAAATTGGACTCCAATACATTCTGCTAAAAGAATCCTCCATACAAAATATAGCTGACTGGACAAGCCTCAGGATGTAAGCACTAAGTTCAATGCATCAGCCAGGCAGAGGTGGAGGAATCAAGTCAGTCAACAGCAAATGGTGACTCAACTATTCACAATTTTATGGCGATAATGATAAGAATTACATTTAGTCACTTGACAGATAAAATGTGTATACGAGCAAGATTGCAAGCAAGCCTAGAAGCACCAGAAGTTGGAAGGATACTGACTTTTGCAAATGATATACGTGCATATATACGCGGGAGGGGGGGGGGGAAACGAACAGCGCGGGAGCTACAAGCGACAGTAGACAAAGTGACTGAGTGGTGTACATAAATGAATGCTGTCGTCCACCCGGAAAGGCGTCTGTTTTGTGGTGTTCTCTAGACAACAGGGTCATTAGAGCTCATGTCCAAAGTCTCACAACAGATGGTAGAAACTTCAAGAGAGAGAACAAACTGAAGTATCTGGGAATTACATTTGACAGCAGCCTGTCCTTTAAGGACCAAATGGCGAGTGTTGTGACAAGATGACAAAGAGGACTCGGTGCACTTAAGAGTATGGATGCAATTGACATAGAGCAGAGAATGCTTTTAACACTATATGAGCATCTTAACTTGTCAGTGGTTGATTATGGCCTGAGACTGCTTACCGTCTCAAAGAGTCAGATGGACAAACTAGAGCGCATACCAAACGCAGCTATGCGGGTCATCCTGGGTTGCACCAGAGACACCCAAGCGGGGTGTATCCGATACATCCTTGGTTTGCCGACTGTTGCAGGTGCTGCAGTCGAAGTCATATCTCCAGGTAGCTGCAGACACAGATCACGCTTTGCACAAAGCTCTGTGCGCAGCGGCTAATAAGAGGAAAGTCGTGGATGGCTCAGACAGAAGACACAATCAGACAGGTTTGCATTCTTGAGAACATTAGGCGAGGAGAGGAGTGGGTCAAAGTGCCACCTGAACAGTCAGACTTGTGTAGAGCCATTATCACATTGAGCCGGGAATGCAGAGACTGGCCAGCAGGCGATACAGAGATGGAAATTTAGCCATTAGTTCAAGATAATGCTCGCTCATAGAATTGGATTATTTACACAAACGTTTCAGTGTCAAAAGGCAAAAGAAGTGCTTAGGGTTTCTTAGCAAAAGTTAATGGTCGAAGTCTGGTGCAGGAGAGCCTAGCATAAGAATGGAGGTGGAGGGGGTCACTGAAGCTTTCCGCTGGTTAGAGAACACGACACACACACACATCATGATTGTAACTGACTCAGAAAGCAAGCTGAGGAAGGTCAGGATAGGCATGCTTCGTGCAGAGTGGCATGCTTCACTGCGGAGGAAACGGGTGAGGAGTATTGTCTGGATTTTTTCTCCGGGACATGCCGGTGTGTTGAGAAATGAACAGAGGACAGACTGGCTAGCTCTGTATAACCTGGTTAAATGCTGATGCATGATAAAGCAGATGTGGTTAGTGCCTTGTGGAAGAGCGTGTACAGTTCGAAGGAGCAGATGGATCACTACAGCCTGGTGAGACTGATGGAGAGAGGTGTGACGAAGGGTTCTGGCAGATGCTCGAGGCTCAGAGGAAAGGCAAGACGGAGGTTTAATCACAATGCTACTGGCACCATTAGTACCGGTGCTGTGATGTCGGTTCTTAAATCATCTCAATACAGATAAAAAGAAGAGTAGATAAACATATCAATTTTGCAACAACCGATGATACAAAGCCCAGTAAACCATAACACGCACTAACGAGTAAACGGACACTAAAAAAAAAAAAAAAACAAGGATAAAATCTCTCAATCAGAGTTGAACTCCAAGAACAGTAGCAAATAACGTGATTATTACTTTTCTGAATACACGATTTTTACCGGAAGAGTAACATTACACTATGGACAGACTAGAGATTTATGCGATTAATTCCGTGTACAACTACTGTTATAATTGCTGCAGTCATCCTGCTGATAAGCACACTTTCAAGTGCCTTATGCACTAAATATGTATGTAAACTAATGGCCTTGGCGAGACCACAGTCTGTAGTGTCAATTATTTCACAAGGGACACAGATTGACAGTGTTAATGTTAATTGAGTTTCAAAATATACCAGTGAAACTTAAAGAACCAGAAAAACAGAACGAAAGTTAAATGCATTCGAAATCAAACGGCTGACAAAACGATGAATATAAAATGGGATGAATTTAAAAGAAATAAATAAATAATAAAAAATGCCTGGGCGGCCACTAGTATCGGCAGTGATAAGACAGAGAATATATCGCTATATTAGGCACATTCTGGGAGCAGACGAACTGGCAGTCCCTATATAAGCACTGAAGTGGAAAATAGAACGAATGAGGAAACGAGGACGCCCGAGAGAAACCCTAAAACGAACATAGATGAGAGAAGGCACAAGTTGCTGGATATGATTCAATCCATGACGCACAAGTGGTTGCATAGGATAGAAGGGAGAGGAACAACAGACTGCCAGCTCTGTCTGACAAATAAATGTTCGACATAACAATGAATGAACGAATAATTTAATTTATCAGTGCTAAGTCATCTGTGTAATTTTATTGGCATAGGAATTAAACTGTGAGGTCTTGATGGTTGTAATGTTGCAACTGTAATAATCTAAAAGCATTCAACCAGAAGCACACAGTGTGCATATAATTAAATATGTTGATCATGAGTTTCCTGGCAGCAATTGGACATGTGTGTTTTTGTCTGAGAATGAACGTTACTCCAAAAGGTGAGTTACTGCCGATGAGGAAATGTGGGCAGCGCAAGCGAAAGCTGAAGGGCAGTTTCTTGCACTAGCAAAACTGTTCTTAGTGGGTACATTTTAATGCCGAAGTACTACATACCAAGCAGTCTGATCTAGGGAATACTTGGCATAGAACTGGGTTTTCTTCTTTGATTTTTCGTTTACATAAGACCGTCATTAATGCATCACACTGATAACAAGAACCAGCACAAATTGTACATATAAAAGTGATGTATGCTTTAACTTATGTCAAAAAAAGGACCATTATTAGCCAAAATAATTTTTGTAGACAACAAACGCACAGTAATAGAGGATGAGTATCCTCCACTACCGTTGAATTGACATTGTTACAGAGTAAAAACACAATTCTTCATCTTTATAGCCGAAAAAATCTGGTTACATTTTAACATCACCCAGTAAGAAAGACAATCACTAACTGAAATTATAGGATTCGACTATAACCAAAAAGCTTCAAATTTTTTTAAAAGTCGGAATCATCAGCCTTTCTGTATCACGGTTTATCCAGTATGTCTGAATCTTTCTGTGCAGGCAGATTGGTCACCTTTCGAGAGCGATACACAAAGTAAAAACTCCGTAGTTGTAGCTGAAATCGCCAGTTTTCTCTAAAACACGAGCATTCCCGAACTAAAGGAAAGAGTTCTAGACCAAACAAAAACATTTAGAGCAACATGAAATCTATTCTACCCCCCTTTTCACGCGTTTGCCATTACCCATGAAATGAGAGATAACCCATATTTGGTAATCTGAATGATTTCAGAGGAAAGCAATCAAAGCGCAGAATGCATGTTAAGCAAATAAACAAAGAACAAGGAGGGGTTAATAGTGACGTGTGCAAGAACAACTTTTTTACCAAAACCTTAACATATTAGCAAAAGCATGAAGAGAGTATAGTATATATTTGAAGATATATGAATTAATAAAATTTGTTTGGAAGACGGCGAAATTACTCCTTGAGTGAAAAGTATCATTGTTAATACCCATTTATGACAAATTTCACTGTGGTGAAAATTTTCCTATGTGTGTCCTGAGAACAAAATAGTTTCCCCTGAATTTAGAATACGTTTCCCTGCCCCAGTCCATCTAGTTTCACATAACCCTAAAATACATATTCTTTAATGTTTAATTTCTCTTACTACTTCCATTGTTCTTCCTACATCGTACAGAGTTCCAACATTCTAGGTGCCAATTCTGGAGGTTTTTCTAGGTGAGAGGAGGTACGTCAACGATCCATACTTTCTTGGGCTTTGTCCACACCGTGTCATACTTCTTCTACTCGAAGAGCCTCCCCTCATCTTTGTTGGTTGGGTTTTACTCGCTTCTTTATCCATAGTAAAATGTAGTAACCTTAAAATGCAGAAAGTGAGACCCTTTTCAAAAAACATATGGTTTAAAGCAAGGCGATGCTCTGTTCCCACTTCTTTTCAACTTGGCCCTGGAGAATATTATAAGGACATTGATATAAGCGTGTGCTTTAGGAGAAACTACAAAAATACCTGGTTATGCAGATCACATTGATAACGTTGGAGAAAATGAACTAGAGACAGAAAAAACACTGACTCTCTTAAAAGAAGCAGCTCACAAAATGGGACTACTTATCAACCAAGATAAGACAGAATACACGATATAACAAGATAGGGAAATGATATAAACTCCGGGTACTCACAAGACGATAATATGAAAATTAAACGAACGGAAACAAATAAAAATGTGGGTGAAAACTTCAACTGCTCCAAAATGCTGAGAAAAGAAAAACAAATAAGAATAAAATCTATAAATAAAGTATACTATGCGCTTTATCATCTGCTAAAGTCACAGTCTCTATCTCGCAACACCAAAATCAAAATATATAAAAGTGTAAGAGACCAATCGTTTTATATGGCTAATCCTCTGTTTTCAAAAATATATAATGCGGTATACTTTTCTTCGAAACCTTGGACCCATCAAAGATGCATACAGTCTGGAATGGAGAGCAATTCATATGTCTAAAGCACCGCTGATCACTGGCATCATGAGATCTTATAGACTCAAATGGCTAGTCATATTGAGAGAATGTCAGATAACAGAGAGGTAAAAACGATATATACACAAAGGAGCTGAATGGTATATATAGAATAAATATTCTAACTGTACATCCTACTAAAAGGGGGGAGGATTTTTCTTCAACAGGCATAGTTATAGAAAATTCAAGTATTTAAAATAACTGGATGGTTTTATACATGTTAAAATGTCATCAGGTGGTCACAACAAATTCCCTGGTATCTCTCTATCATTATTTGTATATGTGTTTTGAAAGGTATTCTTAAACAACGGTAACAAATAAAGCCTAGTTAAACTACTCACTCTACTACACAATAATTACATATAATTTGAATGCAGATTAAAGTCAAAATGTCACCCAGAGTACCTGATTCTAGGCTTGTACTTAACAGCTGCCCCACTAAGATGGTTATTCATAGTTATCTCATAAACTGAAGCTGTTAAAAAAAAAGTCTTATTACATTTGGAAATCAGCAACACAAATTTACCCCAAAATATCTATACAAATTAGGCCACCAGAATATGTGTAGATATATGTTGTCCCCCCCCCCCCCCCCCCACCCGAGAACCTTGTACAGAAAATACTATAATAATAATAATTAATTTAACACATGACTATATAAAAAATATGTTTTCTTTATTTAGCAGGCTTCGTTTATGCAAAACAAGTGTAACATTTTTGGCCTACAGTTGTATGAGTGTATGTGTGTGTGTGTGCATACGTGCCTGTGTGCATATTTGTGCGTGCATGCGTAATGCGTGTGTATGTATATGGGTATGCGAGTGTATGTGTGTGTATGTGTGTGTATGTGTATGCTAGTGTATGTGTGTATGTATGTGGGTGTGTGGTAGGACTATACCATTATTTAATTACTGTTGAGTGGTTTGACCGAATTACTTGCAACACGTGACAGTAAACAGTCAAGTGTTCAAAGGCTCAGATGTCATGCACACAGCGTGTCTGATTCTGTAATTGTAGTTTCCTGGTGAGTTCACGCTTCACTAAATTAATCACCCTATTGCTTGCAGAACAGCTTCAACCAGAAACGTTGTTTGAGCAACTGGAAACACAGTGTCACATATTTACGGTCAGCAAATCCTATTTGAAAGAACGAAGGTGACTGTCTAAATTGGGCACAGAATTGATAAAAATGAGGAAGCCACAGGTAATAGTGATTTAAGTTATAAGTTAGTAATGCGTATTCCGGGAAAGGCAAGCATTGAGAATAAATTACTATGGTTCGTTCAACATCTCATGAACACACTTGATTATATATATATATATATATATATATATATATATATATATATATATATATATATATATATATATATATATATATATATAATATATATATAATATTATTAAATATTTTAACCAACAGCTACATTTAATTATTTTTTTCTATTCATAATCATCATCACAGTCTTAGTTTTTATAATGTGTCACTGGCATACTCATTTGTTTCCTCTCAGCTTTTTCTCGTCCTCTCCCAGTTTTTATTATTATTATTATTATTATTATTAAATTTTCTGTTCCTTCTGTTCATACTCATTCTACTCCCCTCTCTTGACTTTTTCTGTCCGTGCTCCCCATTTCTGAATAAGGCAGCATCTGCATTTGTTTTCCTCGTAAAAAAATCTGTAGGCTGGCTAACCCGCAGCAGGTAATGACATTTAGGCCTGGAGTTTCATAAAAACACTTCTGATCCTGAAATGTCGTCTATAAGCCGTTGGTATCAGATAAATTCCCAAACACACACATTGGTAAAGAAACGCAGTAAAAGTAATAATTAGTAACATACAAATATACAAACAGCTAGTAATTACGTGTTTGATAAGCTCTCCGATGACTCCATTCCACGTCCCGTCGTCCTGTTTTCTACCATATTCTCCATCTAGAACAAATCGAATGTGATATTCATATCCAACATTGCGTGACACCATTTCAGCCAAATCAGAGCAGTAACCAAAAAATCGATGATATCCAACCAAAGGTACACCATCTACAGCTTCTGTCGAGGACTGTAGGTAGGGTTCTTCCTGTTCAAACAGAAAATGATTGTCAAAAATAAATTTGCATTCTTCAGAAAGTTTCAATTAAAATGTTTATTGTACACATTAACAGTAACGCAAATTGAATGAACTGTTTAGAAATGAGTCTAATGTAACATCTACTTTGTTGAAATTACATGATCTATACATTATATTAATTTTTTAACGCAAACATACATATTGATGGTATTTCTCAAAACAAGTGAGGGGCTAATATTGACTAAACAAAATTAGATAACACACTGTGGTAATAGAAACGTTAGTCTCCCCCCCCCCCACCCTAAATACACGGACAGCCCACATACACACTAGAACACAACTGATTGGTCGACCTTCAGCCTAGCTCACTTCTGATTGGTCAACCTTGAGCCACCCGTCCTTACATCAAGGTGACGGGGGTGTTCTCGCAATGCCGTTGATAAAGCGTCTTCTATATTTCAACATTCCAGTGCCTCTAACACTACAAAAACATCGACAAACTGGGTCTAACACGCAACCCCTTTAGGAAGTGATGAAACCTATGTCACAGGCATTTTTTTTCTCGGAATAAAAAAACACATGCAAGACGTCCCAGAAAGCCAACAGAGCGGCACATCCGTAACGTCCAGCAAGTTAGACCAGTCCGAGAAAGTTATCAGTGGAACGTGACCTACTTTCTGTTGGGAACCTAATGTTTGTTTGACCTACACTATACTAGACTGAGAGGCCACAAGTGTTAGACACTTGCCTAGCTCACTGCTGTGATAACTGTTCTGTAAACCTCTGAGAGAGCATTAGGTGAACAGCACACACCCTTTTTTATGCTTGACAGTTGTCCTACAATATTTAATAATTACTTTTTAAAAGAGACATTCTATTGCATGTTCTTTGAATGGTAGCATTACTATATGAAAATTAACTCTTGAAGAGCGTGAAGAGTTTCCAATATTAGGTAAACAATTTTCTTTTTTCTTTAACATGTCATGGGACGATTATTTCCAAAAACATTTTTTTACAATACTATCATCATCATCATCATCAATTCTTTTTATGCCTAGTGGTACATGAGGCTTCAGAGAGGACTTTCTTTTTTTCCTGTCCTGTGCAATCTTCAGTGCAGTTTTCTATGTCAGAGATGCCAAATCAGGTCACTTTCCATCGTTCCTCTCCATGTTGTTTTTACAGTACTATGTCATAGATGAAATGCATGCCGATTACACATATACACAATTAAACCTAAAATGATTCCAGGTTTTAAAGACCGAATTATTAACAATCTCAGTCCTAAGTACTGGTCTGGCCTTCTCTAATAGATAAACAGATAATTGACACTATCCTAATGGAGATAACTACTTGACAATATATCAGAGTAGATACCGTCTCAGTTTAGATGGCAATGCGAGAGAATATCTGAACAAAAACCCTTTCATTATAATGCTGACAGCATAGCCCATCCAGTTTCCCACGGGTCAATCAATACATGAGACAAACATGATGTGTCCTGACGCGTAAAAGTGTCGTTTACTACTACTATTACTTTTACTGCTTCTGCTTCTGCTATTACTCCTACTGCTGCTGTTACTACTACTACTACTACTACTACTACTACTACTACTACTACTACTACTACTACTACTACTACTACTACTACTACTACTACTACTACTACTACTACTACTTCTACTACTGATGCTGTTGCTACTACTGATACGACTACTACTACTATGCAGCTACTACTACTGTTGCTACTGCTACTTCTTCTTCTTATTCTTCATTATCATCATCATCTCCTCCTCCTCATCATCATCATGTTAATTTCTTGAAGCGTAATTAGAATTTAGTTGATTTGATTGTGCCAAGATAGGTCCGAATTTGTCGTACCTGCATGTAACCATAAAATACAAGACAGTTCTGTATGTGACCATAAAATATAAGACAGTTCTGTATGTAACCATAAAATATAAGACAGTTCTGTATCAAATATTTTATCGGCAAGGACAGCTTACAGAAGATAACTGCCAGAAATGGCTTACTTACATCAATTGATGTAACAATCCTTGTCCGATTGTCGATGGTGCGATTAGCTTTGTCTAGGACCTGTTCTTCTCCGTGAGCTTCAAAGTTGTCATTATGCCATGTCCCCACCTAAATGTTTTTTCATTCAAAAAAAAAAAAAAAAAAAAAAAGATCACCACAAGAGCTCCTTTAGGTTAGCTGTGTTGTACAAATACATGTTTGAGTATTTTGAGTTCAGACGAACTTATTCAGATTTGAATTGTAAGCCTTGCTTAGACATGATACATGTCAAGTATCTAAACCAATGGCCTCCAAGCGTATTTGCTCCCGCAACCGAAACTGTCTTACAAAAATTATTTTACAGACGAATGTGTGAAAAGAAATAATGTTTATATAATATTACGTAATATTCTTGAAATCAGCTTAACCTTCTCACCTAGCATGAACAGTTTTTTAGAAAATGTAAAAAAAAAAAATATATATATATAATAATGTTAAGTCTCTTCCCAAGAACACATGAAAAAATCGGAAATGTTGAGGTATACCTCCACATACGCCAGATGTGTAAATATAATACTAGTCATACAGCTCTTTAAGACAGTCAACAATAGGATCGTTTTCACTGGTAATCAGTGTTTACCAAAGTGGGACCGCCTAGCGGCGGAAGGAGCTTCAGGTTCCCTTCCATTCCACTTAAAAAAAAAAAGAAAACGCACGTTCAACCTGCTGTTAGCTTCCGTTGAAGCTAGGGGCATTCAATACAAATGAAGCAGAGATGGGGATACAAAGAAGAAGTACAAGAAAGGAAAACATGCTGATTATCTATTGTTACCTGTTTCAACATTAGGCATGGCGCTGACGTCGTAGTGATTAATTCATTAAAAAAAAAAAATTAACAATATTTAAAGTCACTACGACGTCAGCGCCATGCCTAATGTTGAAACAGGTAACAATAGATAATCAGCATGTTTTCCTTTCTTGTACTTCTTCTTTGTATCCCCATCTCTGCTTCATTTGTATTGAATGCCCCTAGCTTCAACGGAAGCTAACAGCAGGTTGAACGTGCGTTTTTTTTTTTTTTAAGTGGAATGGAAGGGAACCTGAAGCTCCTTCCGCCGCTAGGCGGTCCCACTTTGGTAAACACTGATTACCAGTGAAAACGATCCTATTGTTGACTGTCTTAAAGAGCTGTATGACTAGTATTATATTTACACATCTGGCGTATGTG